CCTCTGGCACTTTTTATTGTTCACTTTGTTAAGTCTGGGATGCAGTTACAAACTGAAAAAAAATCAATAAGCTATTTGAAAGCAAAGAATGGACTACTGTTGGGTATTTCTTTTTTTTCAGTTGTGTTTTAAATGTTCAACTTGCAGGTAGCCATGAACAGAGCTCAGGTATGTTTAATATCTAGCTCAAAATCGGGAGAAAGACATCTCTATCTTATAAAAGTTTCAAGAGATAAAATCTCTGATAATGATGATCAAGAAACATCAAAGAAAGGTAAAAAAAAATAAGTTGTTCAAATTGTGGAAACAGTTGTCTATTGCAGTCTATAAACTTTGATACCCTGCCCTTTGTTAAGTAGGCTTTAAGCAAATTTTTCAGCGACAATAGGCTTTTTGATATTCTTTTGGTTTTATTGAATCCACGCAAGTTAACCTCTACTTCAGACTTTGGTTGATGTTTTTAATTATGTTTTAGTTTTATGTTCTGGTCTGTGTAAAAATTAAAAAATGGTTTATGGTTGCCCTCTAGCAATATTTTTGGTGCTTACAAGTGTTCTGACAAAAGAAGATTGGTGGAATCTTCTCCTTAAGGCGATCTATGCATTGTGTGACCTTTCGCGATACAAAGAGGCAGAACTGCTAGTGGACTCCTCACTGGAATATTATTCATTCTATGACGATCGGCAGAAGCGCAAAGAACTGGAATATTTTGGTCTCTCTGCAGCAGTTTTAGACAAGAATTTTAGAAAAGCTTATAATTATATCAGGTGGGTCATCCCAACAACCACATTGGGGTAAAGCACATTCATTTCAAAACCTCTTTAAATTAAAACTGATTGTTACCGATACAGTATTTTGCTAGATAATTTAGATCATCTTTTCGTTTCTACTGAGAACTCACCTCAAGCAAACCTTCCACCTGTATGCCATATCTTCAGAATGCCATGTCTTCATCTCCTCCTTCCGCAGAGTTAAATAAATTTAACACTGGTGAAATAATCATTTTAGCTGAAGGATCTAGTGATGCATTTTGTCTGTTGAAAGAGAGTAGTTCTAGGTCAAGTAACATAGTGGTGGGTGATCTTGGCTGCCTTATTTTGAGTGTAATTCTGTGAATTGAGCCTCTGTGTAGAACATGCTGATTACAGGAGATATACAAAAGGGATGAAAGAGAGGCCATCTTGTGACTAGATCACACCACTGTCCTCAGTGATTGTAGACTGATCTTTTCTGTCATTTGCAAGCAATCTGAAAAGCACCTGTTTCTTCCCTAGGATAATGGTAATGGAACATGTCAGTAAGCCTCAGCTTTGGAATATCTTTAACCAAATCACCATGCATTCCCAAGATGTGCGGCACCATCGCTTCTGTCTGCGATTACTCGTGAAGAACCCAGACAATCATGCATTGTGTGTTTTAAATGGCCACAATGCTTTTGTGTCCGGTTGTTTCAAGCATGCCCTTGGTATGATTTTGGCTGTTATTAATTAAAAATCGCAAGTGCAATGTGTGAAGATGTATGTAGAATTATGCCTCGTGTATTTGTAGATAGGTAATAATATGAAACTGGAATACTAGAAGCTGTGATTTTGCTATTTTGCAAAAACAAAAATGGAAAATAGCTGCAACCAGTGCTTTGGATTAAAACATGCCCATTTGACCCAAGCAAAGGCCAAACTATGATGAAACAGTAGAGGGCATCCTTGGGGATAAGTGATGGACAGCAGCCTCATCAATATGCCTTGTGATAAATGGATGCTTTGTGATTCCTATCTTGTGTCATTCCTATCTTGCCCATATCTAGTAGAGTTTGCCCGCTCATTAAAGATAGGCAAACTCCACTACAACCATTCTATCAACATTTCAGACATGCCCAATGGACCAAAATGGTTGTTTTTTTAAACTTCAAAAAAATAAAATGGTCCATAGATGTCCTGCTGGTTTAAATTTGTTTGAAAGCTTTTTAAATAATATATATGCAGCAGTCAATGACATTCCCAAATCTTCACTGCTTGTTTCATTTCAGGACAATATGTACAAGCGTTCCGTACTAACTCAGATGAACCCCTGTATAGTCTTTGCATAGGCTTGACCTTCATCCACATGGCATCTCAGAAGTATGTGTTAAAAAGGCATGCCCTCATAGTACAGGTGCGTTGTCTTTCTTTCACAGCTTTCACGTGCACAGCCTTGCCTCATGTTAAATGGCATAATGAAGCAGTAGGTGTGAACTTAAATGGACTCCAGAAGATGGTAGAGGACAGGAAGACCTGGAGGAACATTGTCCATGGGGTCGCGATGGGTCGGACACGACTTCGCAATTAACAACAGCAGCAAATGACATAAAATTCCTTTCAAATTTATTTAGGCAAGCAGCCTTCAAGAATTGACCGTAAATATAACCCTGTAAAAAGTTACGTTGCATGAAACATCTTTTATGAGCTGCTGGGTTGTAAGCAGGTTGATCAGTATTACCAAGGGTACTGGAATGTTTATTTTATTTTTCCTTTTGCCGTGTTTCAGAAGAAAGGATAGTCAACAATATCTGTCAATTAATCCCATTATTGATTTACGATCCATGTTTTCTAAGATTTATAAACTAGTGCAGTTTAAGAATCTTATTGGGAGATTTACTACTGCAAAATGTGTTATGTACATTGTTGTGGGGATTGATTATATGCCATCAAGTTGGTGTCAACTCCTAGTGAGCACATAGATTTTCTCCAGGCTGCTGATTGTGTTCTTCTCTTTCCCTCCATCTTTCCCAGAGCCTATTCCAGAGAGCTAGGTCTTCACATAATATGTTCAAAGTAAGATAATTTGAGTCTGGTCATTTATACCTCGAATGAGACTTCTGGGTTGATTGTTCAATAATTCATTTGTTTTCTTGGTTGTCTGTGGTATTCTCAGAAGTCTTCTCGAACACTAAATGTCCAAAGTGTCAATTCCCTTCCTATCCTGTTTCTTCAAAGTGCAGCTTTTGCTTCCACGGTGTATCATATGGAATAATATTAATGCAAGATATTTTACTGCATTTAATGATGGCCATATGCGAATTTAATTTTGACAGTATTACTTCTGATGTCTCAATTGTTACTTGTCATTTTTAATTTTTGCATTAGTGGAGTTTTCCTTTTTTTTTTTTATTTAGGGGTTTTCATTCCTGCAACGGTACTTGAGCCTTCGTGGTTCTTGTCAAGAATCTTACTACAACTTAGGACGCGCCCTTCATCAACTGGGATTGGTATATCTTGCTATTCACTATTACAAAAAGGCACTGGAATTACCTCCATTGGTCCTAGAGGTATTGTATAAAACAGCATTTCATAGGTATTTGAATGTTAAGACACATGAACATTCTTCACAAAGTGCCACCCTCTATAGCAGTGTTCCAAAATAAAACTACCGTATATGCCGCCGTATTAGGCGACGCGGCGTATAAGATGACCCCCGTCTTTATAGCTGGGCCGCATTCCTAGAAGGTTGTCTTATATGCCGGAAACTACCAGTATTTCCGGCGTATAAGACGACTCGGCGTATAAGACGACCCCCGTCTTTGGTGCCGATTTCAGCGCTCGCGGAAGTCGTCTTATACACCAGCATTTACGGTATTGTAAAAATTTGGATTCAAGGAAAGACAGTATCAATGTTTATTGCTGACAGGAAAGTGCTTATGTACTTTTTTTCCCACGATTAGAAAAAAAAATCAACATAATTTATGGTTTTGATGATTAGACAGGATAGATTATATAAAGAGAATCATGTTGTAAGAACCATAGAGTAAGAGATAGAGCTATAATTGTATTTATAACTGCTATAAAGTGTGGTAGCCTGTTATTTGTATCTTTTTCTTTTATATTTGTCTTTTGTTTCCTTTCTTGTACTTTTAACTTTCTCTTTATTTCTTTTCTTTTTTTAGTTTGTATTAGTTTTTAATCTTCTTTTTAAATGTTTTAAATAAATTATAAATACATGTATAATTTATGTATATAAATTTTGGGGGAAAATGTATTTTGTGACTTCTTAAAATAGATTTTTCTCCTTTAAACTAGGGAATAGAAACTGACCAGACAGACTTGCGAAAAGATATTGCTTTCAATTTGTCACTCATCTATCAGAGCAGTGGAAATATTCGAATGGCTCGCAAACTGTTGTATACATACGGAACTGTTTGAGGACAAAGTTACACACTTGGTCAGGGAAATGAATTCCTTTCCTTGATTCTAAAGGGAAAGCAGCTCTATAAACAACTTCTGTTTTTATGGCGAGACTTGGAAGAGACTGATGGAAGAATGGTCAAAACAGAGACATCATGAACTGACTCCAGCCTTTGAATTCAACACTGATTCTCCTTAAAACTGAATGAGAAATACAAGAAGACTTAGAACTTCCTTAATAGAAGACAGCTAAGAGCTTTCTTGATAGAGTTGAAGGTTGTGCTGTTTTCCTCTGTGAAACTTAATCCTAACCCTATATAACCAACACATGTGGAATCTGTACAGAAATCAAGAACATTCAGAGTTTTTTGATATACAAAACTTATTCCAGAAAAGCACTGGCTGTTACTTACCTTTATAAAACCCAGTGTTTAGGCCAAGGTTGGGATTGTCATGCCCCTTGTTCTATTAGAATACATGATTGTTTACAAGAATAGTGAATGCTTAACAACATCTGGTTCTTCATTTGGAAGAAATGAACACTCAAATTGTTATGCGTAGTTTTCTTATTTAAAAAGAATACGGAAGAGAAACTGTTTTACTGTTTGTTAATTTCAGGATATGATAATAATAAAACAAAGGCCAAAATCAGCTTCTTTAGACCAAGTTCTATTTCTTTACTTTTAACAACTTATTAAAAATGAATTTATTATGAAGATGTGGCAGTCTCAAATAACTATTCTCTATGTCATAATATTTCTTAAACTATATTGACTTGAAATACATTTTATAGCTTAAGAAGAGAACTGTGCTCTTTTTAGAACAAAATACAAACTGCAGCTGTTACAAAAAAGTAAATGTTTTATTCTTAAAAACCCCCTACCCCTACAAGATATATAGCAGGCTTGTATACTATACAGTAGTTATCTAGAACAGCGAAAGTTGAGAAATATATAATTGTTATCCATGATTTATGGTAATGTTCCTCAATCTGGATACCCATTTCTATTTCTGAATCCCAATTACCAGGATCATTGCTGAAAATTCTGGGAATTGGAAGTCTGGAGGACACTGAAGTGAAAAAAGATTGATTTAGGGTGAAAATATTTGGAAAAGCCAGTTGTTTTGATATTTGTGAACCAATTCTTTGTAAGACTTTTATTTGGAGGCCTGCACAAATATTTTATAGTTCAATGAACGGTCAAATGACATACTTGTTTAAAGTTTTTTTTTAATGAAATGCTGATTTTGTATTTCGTGCACATAAATATAAAAATCACCAATGTTATAAGGGACTAACTTTCTGGCTTTATATTGTTTTCTCATCTCATACCAAACAGTTCAATTCCCAAATAATGATGGGTGAAGATTAGGACAAGCAGGTAAGAGAGGTTAGTAAAACATAGTTGACTGAATTATGAATTTTGTTACTATAATTTTAGTAGTTATGAAAATATTTATGTCGTACATCTTTCCTCTCCTGGCAGTTTATTTTGGGAGGTGATGTATTTGTTCAAACTATGCCTTGTATTGAGAGGATTCACGAAGACCACCCTTTGTGAAAAATATATTTGGATGCCAGCCTTATTCTCTATAAAATTAGCCCGATCAAGGCTTTAGATCTGCCACTTAAAAAGAAAGAAATCCAAATAGTTTTCCTTTCTTGAATTGCAAATAAAGCACAACTGTCAATATACAAGACGTACAAATCATATCTTGGTATAGTGTACATAATATAACAAGGTTGATTCTGTACACTTAGCTCCTGTATAGTTTTGAATCCTACGTGTGACTTTAAAAATGGAAGTTAATTCGCTCAGGAAGAGTTTAAGATTGAGGCACATAATTTATTTTTAATAAAACTTGAAGTTTTCCGGTCTGAAAAGTTCCACAGAGGCATTTTAAAGACTTGATAGCTGAAGCCTAGTGCCTAAAGTTTAGAGGACTCTTCTTCATTAGTGTAGAGCATTCCTAGTTCATACAAGATCTCCTCTGTTAACATCGGTATGTGGAGGATCACACTGAAATGATCTACCATTTGGCTCCTTCCAGGTACGACCACCATTACTGGGGCCCTAGATCTGAGACAAGATGTTCATAGGTGCAGGGTCATCTTTGACATCCTGGAACCTCCTGGGTAAGCAGGTCATCAATTATTTTGTTCCGATAAATATTTCCTGGAGATGAGCTTCAGGCGATTTTTGGTCTCCCACCGCTTCAGGCAGGCCTGGCTAGGAATCTTCACTGGCTTATTCTGTCAAAAGAACCTTTTGTCAGAGCTGAGAATGATCAGAAAAGGTCAAATCTACTGATACTTTTATAATCATGCTTTGAGTCTCATCTGACCAAAATGAAATATGTATCTGCTAAAACTAACATTTTACAAGCACTTAAAATCCAAAAATCTGGTTAGCAGATTTCTGCAGTGAACATTCTTGGGAGAAACTATGAAAGAATTATCAATCTTAATTTTCAGAATTTTTTTTTTTAAAAAAAGCTGTAGATGAAATTTAAATTATACCTTCAATCAGATATTTTTTGAAGAAGCTGGGAAAACAATTGGTTAGAACTAACCGTGGCTGATATAAACGCAGAATTTTCAAATTTTACCAACTTTTTCCTCTAGTCCAGTTAAATCATGTCTCATTTTCTTCAAGCCTTAAAAATTGACCCTAACCTCAATCCTAGGTTTTGAAGTTGCCTCAGATAAGGGGAAAGTGGTCCAAGAAATGAACTTCACACATGTGTTAAATGCAACTGATAGGTACTCAGTTTTGTTTTCTTGTTTCATTTATGAATGATAATACAATATGGTAAATGTTCCAAATCAGAGGTAAGATATATTCTCCCCCCCCCCCCTGCATAAAACATCTAGCTTTTGAAGAGACTTGAGGTCCAATGTCAACAGTATGCAGTTCCACTCTCAGGTTATGAAATCTGTATTTGTTGAATTTCTTCCCTCAGGCAGCTGTTATGATCAGCTGGGAATGTAAAGAGGGCCTATCTTTGATGAATCCTTCAATGTTTCCTATTCTTTCTTTTAGTCAAACTTTGTGTATCTCTTTAGCAGAGGATGGTTTTCCATGGTCTTCTTTGCAATAATCAGCACTGAATTTTAACAGCTACTGATATTGGTGCCTACTGTTCACCTCTGGGAACAGTCCTAGACTGGGATTGCATACTGTGCCAATGTTTGTTCCCTCTTGGCTGACTGAATATATGGTAGCTAATGAGTTTCCACAATACACTAATACAGTGATGGCAAACCTTTTAAAGACCAAGTGCCCAAACTGCAACCCAAAACCCACTTATTTATCGCCAGGTGCCAGATGGGACGTGGCCCAATGGGTGGGTGTGGCTGTGGTGGTCATGGCAGACTTGGTGGGTACGGCCAAAGTGGGCGTGGTCACCTCGATGTTGCTCATGGGGAGGGACGCCTGTGGGGGCAAGGCAGGCCACGGGGCAAGGCGAGGCAGGGGCCAGGGCAGCTGCTGCCTGATACCATTGGCCCCCACACACAGAGGCCAGAGAACTCAAGGGGGCCGATGGTGTCCGTCAGCAGCAACAGCCTGCCGGCCCCTTGACCGGTGCACTTTGGGGCTCTGCAGCCCGCTGCCAGCAGTTCAGAGAAGCCACCTCTGAGCTGGACAGCTGGCTGGCAGCTGAAGAGGTGATGCAGTGGGTCGTGCCTGGGAAAAGGAGAGCATACGAGGGTAGGAGGGATAGGACGGGAGGGGGAGTGAAACCAACCGTGTCGGCTTGCATCCAGCCACATGGGACCTCAGGCGGCTGGTTGAAGAAGGACGTTTGCCATCTCGGGGTATGGCACGCATGCCCACAAAGAGGGCTCTGAGTGCCGCCTCTGGCACACGTGCCATAGGTTCGCCACCACTGCACTAATATATGAATCGGTTTCACATTAAAATGGTTGAGTTCACAGAACGTGATGCTAAGACCAAAAAAAACATACATACTATGGGTTAGCTTGATGCGCGAAGCTAACTGCTCTCAAATGGCATAGTATACTATGACATAAGATCAATATCAAGTATTTCATTTGTGGATGTTGTTCCAATACTGACCTCCTCTTCACTTTCTTCACCCAGCTTTGATTTTCGGTTTTTGAGTAGTTCCTGCTGCAGACTATCAAACTTGGACTTGAACCAGTGATGAGCTTCTTCTAGGTTAGCTGATATCTAGGGCGGAGAAAGGATATCAGCAATGAAGTACTGCTTATTGATTATAAAAAAAGGAGTAGCATTTTCCTAGGCTTTCACGTCAGTGAGTGATAATATATGATAAGTATTAGAATACTGATAAGTTCTGAAACTTTAAATCAAATCCTAAAATTAGCTCTTACTTCAGTAATGAGAAGTTCAGGAATGCCAAGCCAGTTTTCATCTGATCTGTAAAACTAATTCCTTTCCAAGCATGGTAATTGCAAGCAAAATAGCAACTCTGCCCCAGGATTTTTTCCCCTCTTCGCCTCTGCATCTACCTGTTGAGACTCAATGCTGGCTTCTTTTAGTTTCTCTTCAGTAGCCTCCTTGCATTTCTTGAGCTGCTTAATGGTGTTTTCCAAAGTCTAAAGGAGCAGGAAAAAAAAAAATACAAACCAGTCTACAATTACCGTACTTTCCGGCGTATAAGACGACTTTTGAAAGCGTTGAAATCGGCACCGAAGTCGGGAGTCGTCTTATATGCCGAGTCGTCTTATATGCTGGAAATAACGGGTCGTTTCCAGCGTATAAGACGACTTTCTAGGCATGCGACTCGGTGCTGAAGTCGGGGGTCGCCTTATACGCCGGAATATACGGTATGTATTCTTCTATGGTAATTTCAATATGATTTAAGATTAGGGCTAACAGATACTTCTTTCTATCAAACAAAAGGACAGAAAAAGAGGGACTTTAGACTAGCTGTCGCTATAGGCAAAATATTAAGATGCTCAGCTGAAATAAACGATGAGCTCAAAAGGGGATTACTTGGCACTCTTCCTCAAGCTGCTTCCGCTTTTTCCTTTCTTCTTCCAGCTGATTTTCCATCACTTGCTGATTTTTGGCCAGTTGCTGCATCTCACTTTGTAGGCTTGTTAATTCGGTGGCAAATTGTTTGATACTAAGGGACTAGAAAAAAGACGAATCAGACTCCGTGATCAAATCAAGCATTTTAGGACCGAGCTTGCTGTAAAAAAATGGACGCTACCTGCTCGTAGTTTTTCTTCTGGTATAGGTCCTTCAGCTCTTCCATTTGCCTCAATTCCAACTCAATCTCCTGAAAGTATTTCACAACAATGAGAGAGGAAAGCATCCAGACCTCTACTGGGTCAGAGTACAGCTACACTAAACGACAGGGTCTGCTCTCTCCTGCCAGACACCAAAACTCCAAAGTACCCTTCCTGTTTTCAGGCCGCTGCATAAAGCAAGCAGGCAGGCATTTCAATTTTACAATGACTGCTCCAGGGTGAAGAACCCGGTAGTAAAAACTCAGAAGATAAAAGAGCGGGCCGGGGCTATCTTCTAGCATGTCCTCAAAAATAAATACATTCGTTTTAAAAGTGGCAAGAGATCTGGAGGAAGACAATCACATTACTTTGCATTGGCCCCACCATATCTGGTTCTGTCAAGGCCTTTTCTGCAATATAAGGAGCCTTAATAGCTGCAGAGCTGGGAACCTTCTCCACTAGCCCTTCTTCCAGTGTGATGCTGCAAGATACTAAAGGTCTAGAATTTAAGTGAGACCGCTGGCAGCCCCAAGCACATTTCCTCGCCGCCACTTGCTCCTCAAGTATTTCAAACAAGCAGAAATTCTGAAAAGAAATCCAGGACAGGAATCTCAAAAATACAGGGTCTCGTTAAGTTCTGCAACTTTAAACCAGTTCGTAAACTAGGTCAGACTATTGGGAAGGCTCCTCCGTTCAGGGGTGGTGAGGAAATTAGAGAGAGGCTGCAAATATTATTGTGTTCCTGACCAGGCTTGGCCAGAGAAAGCAGGAACATCAAATCCAGGCTTTGCTCTCCCATTGCCTGCATCGGCTGCCAGCAATCAGTTGCAGAACAGCAACAACGGAAAACCGCAATTAAAATTTAGCTATTTTAATTTAGCTAACTAGTGTATGAATTCCTTGCCCCGTCCCACCCTAACTCTAATGCAATCTTTAGTTTTGCTCACGACGAGCAAGCCACACGTATTCATTTAAGCCTTTCTGCCTGTCTCAGTACTGCCAGGTTTCCCAAGCTCTGCAGGAAACTATGATTGGCTTTATTAATCTAAACCCTGTATGGAGAGAAAAGGCACACTTTTTGCCTTCAAAAAACCTAGTATTGTCTCAGCACCACCAAAGAGCCAGCCATTTCACAAGAGAGATTTTGCATTCAGATCACATTCTATTGTTTTCTCTTTTCAGGCTTAGACTCAACCCTGACAAGACCGAGTGGCTCTGGGTCTTGCCCCCCCCCAAGGGTCATTCTGATGGTCCATCATTAGTCCTGGGGGGGGGGAATTTACCTCCCTCAGTGCAGGCACGCAACTTGGGTGTCCTCCTGGACTCACAGCTAAATTTGGAACAACATCTATCGGCTGTGGCCAGGGGGATCTTTGCCCAGGTTCGCCTGGTGCACCAGGTGCGGCCTTATTTGGACCGGGAGGCTCTACTCACGGTTACTCATGCCCTTGTCACCTCAAGACTGGACTACTGTAATGCGCTCTACATGGGGCTACCCTTGAAGAGCGTTCGGAGGCTGCAGTTGGTTCAGAATGCAGCCACGAGAGCGATTGTGGGTGCACCAAGGTACACCCACGTGTCACCTATCCTCCGCGAGCTGCACTGGCTTCCTGTGGGTCTCCGGACGCAATTCAAGGTGTTGATTGTCACCTTTAGAGCCCTTCATGGCTTAGGATCAAGTTACTTACAGGACCGCATACTGCCGCATAGTTCCCAGAGACCGGTGAGGTCCCACAGATTGGGCCTCCTTCAGGTCCCGTCGGCCAGACAATGTCAGCTGGCGGGCCCTCGGGGAATGGCCTTTTCTGTGGTGGCTCCAACGTGGTGGAATCAGCTTCCCCCCGAGATTCGAACTACTCCCACCTTGCCGGCCTTCAAGAAAGCTATTAAAACTCTCCTGTTCCGGCAGACCTGGGGTTGATGTCCCCAGGGGGGGCGGGATTCAATTGGGACATGCTGTGTGAATGTATTCATTTTTAATTGTTATACTTGTTTTAATTTTGTACGCCACCCTGAGTCCCTAGGGATTGGGCGGCATATAAATTTTACTAATAAATAAATAAATAAATAAAACTTCCATTCTAACTTTATAGATGATGTCCCACCACTAACAGTTGCAGCAAAGACAGATGCAGGCCGTACAGAAAGCTATTTGGAAAGAAGGCAAAGGCAACCTAAGCCATCAACTTACCTTGATTTTCTCTGCATTGTGTGTATTGTTGGTCTTGGAGTTGAAGTACTGGGTGATTAGTATTTTCTGCTTTTTTACCTTCTCCTTCTGATTTGCCAACGCGGCTTCCAGGTCTATCACTTTTGCCCGCAGTTCTTTGTTGCAGCGTAGTATTTCGGTAGATTTAGAGCAGGCCTCTTCAAGAGCTTTTTTAACCTATCGGGTTAAGAGACAGAGGCAATGCCTGTTCATCTGAAAAAAGGCAGAAGGTGAAGGCTGTGTCTGAATTCTTACTTTTGTCTCATCACTCTGAAAACTCATAGATTTTGGTTTCCTGCTTGGAGAATAATTTTTGTCTGGCTTCCGTTTAGGGCAATGATGGTGAACCTTTTAGAGACCGAGTGCCCAAACTGCAACCCAAAACCCACTTATGCATCGTCGGGTGCCGGGTGGGTGTGGCCCATTGGATGGGCATGGCTGCGGTGGTAACAGCAGACTGGGTGGGTCTAAAAAGTTCAATCAATCAATTCCAACTTTGCAAGATCTTTTTTTTCCCGCAAGAAGTTGAAATTGACTGATTGATTGAACCTTTTTTTTGCACACGGTGGTGGAGGCCTAAAGCGAAAAGGTTTTATAAAACCCAGCTGAAGGCCTAGGACTGGGGTGATGGCGCGTGTGCCCACAGAGAGGGCTCTGAGTGCCACCTCTGGCACCCGTGCCATAGGTTCGCCACCACTGGTTTGGGATATAAGGCTTTATTTTTAGAGTATTGGGAACCTCTGCTCAAATTTTAGATACTTTCTGTTAGAGGTATTGGATCCACCACTCATAACTGGCATGCAGAAGATTCTGAAGTAGTCTATGGCCTCTCCTTACTAAGGGATGGATAAACATAAAGCAGGCTTAACTACATCTTCTTAGGTTCTTTAATACCATTGTTATGAATGCCAAAGGAAGCATGTTACAGGTAGTGCTTGAGTTAAAACCATTTGTTCGGCAACCGTTCAAAATTACAACATCCCTTGAATGAAGGGACTTGACGATCATTCCCAAAGTTCGGGTGGCCAAGTTCAGAAGTCAGGTTGCCAAGCACTTAACAATCATGGGATTGCCATTTACAACCTTCCCTACTGGCTTCTCCAGAGAGTCATTGGGGAAGCTGGCAGGGAAGGTCACAAGTCACTAAGGTAAATCTCCTCCCCCCCCTCCCCGGGCATTTCTTCACTTGCATTGCACTGCATTCTCCTTACCTCCTGCAATTGCACCTACCCTGTGCCAGCCTTCTACGATTTCCTTGATTGCACATACGTATTCCATGCTCTCCATCCATTAACGCCTTGTGATTGCACACATCCTGTGCACTCTTTTCATGGCCACCTTTTGATTACACACATGCACACACTCTCCTTCTATGGGGTGCCTGCAAATGTACATATTCACGTACCCTGCTTCTATGGCCTGCATGCGACTGCACATGTGCACTTTCAAGTCCTTTTTCCATGACCTCCCTACAGTCGGATGTATCCCACATCCTCATTCTCCAGCCTCTCTAGCTCATGGTGCATCCTTTGGCTCGCCTGTAGCCTGGGCCCAGCCTCCCCATTCCCGTGGTACCCCCATGCTCCCTACCTCTGCTTTCCGCTTAATGATCTGTCCAACACTAACTGATGAGGGTCATATGATATTTGTACTTTATGACTGTTATCACACCGTGATGGCAATTTTGGTCTCAATTATTGCTGTAGCTCAAGGACTATCTGTTGCAATTAGCGTGCAGTGGAGACACAGGACCTTTATTTTATTCCTTATTGGAATAGAATCTATCAAGAGCTCACTTCAGAACTGTTCCCTTTCCTTACCTCGGCTGATTCTTTTTGGGCTGCTTTCTTCGCCACTTCTCGTTCAGTCTGAAACTGTTTCTTCAGGGTCTCCAGGCGATCTGCATAGAACTTTGTCTCCCTCTTGGTTTCTTCAATGAGCTGGTCCCTTTGGAAGGAAAAAGGAATTCTTACAGGACATCCGTCCCGTCTCTTCCGTTTTGAAGATACAATCCTCAAATAGGCAAAAGATGTACACCAGATTTTCTGTTCATTTCACTTTGTTTTTTTATCCATCCCTCCAAGCCTTCTGAACTGGGTTTTTTGGGAGGACCTCTGGGGATTAATTAGATTTATGTTCATCACTGGATTGTAAATTTTAAATTTTGTTGTATTATATTTATGACATAGTACATCACCTAGAGCAGTGTTTCCCAAACTTGACAATTTTAAGGCATGTGGACTTCAACTCCCAGAATTCCACAGCCAGCGTTGCTGGCTGTGGAATTCTGGGAGTTGAAGTCCTCATGCCTTAAAATTGTCAAGTTTGGGAAACACTGACCTAGAGGTTCTGTAATGCAGTGAGAAATGCATATATAAGTAAACAAACACTGACCTGCATTGCACCAATTGCTGGCATTCTGCTTCTTTGCTTTCCAGCTCATCTTGAACAAGAGAAAGTTTGCTTTCCAAGGCACTGTTGGTCTGCAGAGTTTGCTCTAAATTTTGGATAAGTTTCTTCTTGTCCAGTTTGGAGGTTTCCAGGGCTTTACGAAGTGAGGTCATCTTTCATAGTACGGAAGGAAGCACAGGGTGACAAGAATTGTGTGACGTGCAATCTATTACTACAAAGCCAGTGTGTCCAAAGATGCTTCACTTGACATTTGCCAGCCTTTCTGCACAAACTGTATTTTATATTTTTAAAATGCTTCATGTTGCCATACTGCATCTGCCGGGGCAACCATTTTTGTGAACGGGAATGGCCCTCTCAACAGTCATTTTGCAAAATGCCAGGCTAGAAAGTGGGAGACTGTGAGTTGAAGGCCCACCTTAGCCATTGAAAGCCAGCTGGGTGACTTTGGCCCCTTGCTCTCAGCCCAACTCATCTCACAGGGTTGTTGTTGTTGTGGGGAAAATAGGAGGAAGACGGTGTGTTGGATATGTTTGCTGCCTTGAGTTATTTGTAAAAATAATAAAGGTGTGTGTGTGTATGTGTGTAATGCCTACAATCACCCCCCTGACCCCCCTAAAAACAAAAGAGAGCCTGGGAACCTCTTCATTACAATCAGTGTCAACCACTTATCCTGCTATCAACCTCACATTGTAAATGGCAACACAAAGAGTAAGCACAGCTAAAATAGCCTTCCATTTCAACCAAATTATATCAATACTTCATCAGCACAGAATGTCATTTCTGTTACTGATAATGTCCACAGTCCCAAACTGAACAGACTGTCTATTTTAGTCACTGGAAGTTGCTTCCCTTTTTACCTTCGCATTGCGCTGGGAGTCCAAAGCTAGCTTGCCTCGACAGTCTTCCAGCTCTTCTTCCAGCGTCTGAATTCTTTGCTCGTTCTGGGTCCTGCATCAAAAGAGAAATAGCCCAAAGAATAGATGTACTCAGAGAATGTGCTTGGGTTTTTTTTTTCTTCAAAATCTCAAATATTGCCTAGCATTTTAGAATATTTTATTAACAAATCCTGATATTTTATATTTGACCTTTTTTCAAGGTAGATACTAATGTCTACCACACCAATAAAAACCATTCAGTTGGCCATACTGAGCGATGTACAAGGTGGGAAGATGGCAGGTTCATTTACCTATCTTTCTTTAAGCCAGCAATATCAGAATCTTTGTGCTCCAATTCAATCTGAACCTTTCCCAAAGCTATCTGCATCTTGTTATGAGAAGTCAACACATTTTCTAGAATTGTGGTCATTTTGATGTTATCTTCCTTTGCTTCTTCCAGCTTGCGTTGTAGATTTGCCACCTGTAGGATACCAACATGACAGGCAATGAGCAGTTGACCCAACAACGATTTTGCATGTCTCAGGCAAAGCTCAGGAGCAGAGGACCTGGTTTTTTACAAGCAAATGGTCCTAAGAGTACAGAGAAGAGCAACAAAGATGATTAGGGGACTGGAGGCTAAAACATATAAAGAACGGTTGCTGGTATTGGGTATATCTAGTTTAATGAAGAGAAGGACGAGGGGGGACATGATAGCAATATTCCAATATCTCAGGGGCTGCCACAAAGAAGAGGGAGTCAAGCTATTCTCCAAGGCGCCTGAAGGCAGGACAAGAAGCAACGGATGGAAACTGATCAAGGAGAGAAGCAACCTAAAACTAAGGAGAAACTTCCTGACAGTTAGAACAATTAACCAGTGGAACAACCTGCCTCCAGAAGCGGTGAATGCTCCAACACTGGAAGTTTTTAAGAAGAGACTGGACATCCATTTGTCTGAAATGGTGTAGGGTTCCTGCCTGAGCAGGGGTTTGGACTCAATGACCTCCAAGGTCCCTTCCAACTTTATTATTATTATTATATTATTATTATTATGTGCTCTGTAAACATCTCTTCCTTTGACAACCTGGAAAACTGTGGCTGCCGTGCAGAATTGACAAGGCTAGAAGACAAACCATTGCACTTTTTTATGAAAAGCAACTCTGTGGCAAACTTCATCTATCTTGAGCTATGAAAATGTTGTCATGCCTTCAGTGCGGAATAAATCATTGTCATGTATGAAATGCATGAGTGCCTCAAATGCACTTGGGCAGTGACGCAGCCTTGTAAAAGAGATTGCTACCATTATGTCCGGGTTTATTGATATGGGTGGATTCTGATCTACCTAAGGTTGTGGAACAAGTTCACTTTAGGAACAAAGGAAACTGCTGAATATTAAATCCAACCAAATTAAGTTCATCTACTTAAGTGTTAAGCAATTGTTCATAGTCTTTTCTAGATCTAGTTGGAGAATGAACACAGGCATGCCATGGATTCAATCTAGGCACAACGCATACGTTCTATCCCTGAATTACCAATTCCACTTTTGAACAGTTTTCTGTGGACTTTCAGAGAAGTAAATGACAGCAGACAAAGCTGTACCAGCCAGGTTCAAGGTCAGTTTCTCCTCAGAACATGGGGATTTTACTTTACCGATAGCAGGATTTTTATTTATTATTTTATAAGTGAAATTAACAGACAAAAATAAGAGCCAGTACAAGAGATCACTATCATCTAGATACAGGAAAAGCAAGGGGAAAAAAAATCTTGACATTTGGGGTAAGATGAAAGGACTCAAGTAAAACAGAGCCTGAGTCTTCACTATTACATCACCAAGGAATGGTCTGAGAATCAATCAAATTTAGACAGTATGGTGTGACAAATGGAGTAGACATAACCACTTTGTTCACAGATGTATTCATCCATATGGCCTAGTGCAGGGGTAGGCAACCTTGGCTCTTTTATGACTGGTGGACTTCAACTCCCAGAATTCCTGAGTCATAAAAGAGTCAAGGTTGCCTACCCCTGGCCTAGTGCAATGGTTCCTAATCAGTGGCACAGGAATTTCATTTCGACCTTGAGCTACAAATATTCTCTATAAGTAATGGTCTGTGATGGTGCTGCAGGTTATTCCAGGTTGTTTTTTGACTTGACAAAAAAAAAAACAAAAAAAAAACACCGTAGGTCAATTTTGATTTTGGAATAAAACAGTCATTTTGCACTGTTGCAACCGCAACATTGTGTTGAGACTTGTGATTGTTTTGTTTTTAATCAACTTAGTCATATCTTTTGGCTAAGGCTGGGTTGAGTGATTGAGAAATGGCCAACCCAACAGAGTAGAATCCATCCTAGGCAAATCCCAGAGGGACTGTAGATAGCTTCGGCACTCCTGCTTGGAAAGTTCCAGCCTTTTTAAAAAAAAAGATTCATTATGTGGAACTTCATATAGGTGGGTAGCTATGAGATTATGAAAGGGCTACTAATACAGTGTAAGTTGTTGTTAGAGTTTGGGTGTGGTGTTGGAGTGCACTCTCAACATAATAAGCTAATATAGTACCTTCAAAATGTTCCTGTTGTGGTTAATTATGCATTTGGCTCTGACCCCACAATGGACTGAAAATCTTAGGCTATGTGATTAAGATTTAGCCATCTAGCCAGGTTTTCTGGCCTGCTGTTAACTTTTTCAGAACATGTTTTGTTTTGACAGTAAATTTTGTTCTTGTCGAGTGCACACTTACTTATAATTGCTGTTTCTATGACATTTCTCTCCCACATGATTCTGGGTGGCTCTGGGCTCATTTGTTTACTGAACTTTTTCTGAGTTTAAGTTTTCGTATATTTGTGATCGCTTTTTTCTGATGTGGGCTTGGGATGCATTTGGCGACTGGTTGAACCTGAGGAACCAGGCAGGATTGTTGTTGGGCTGTTGCACTGTGACTGGAATGTGTGCATGGGCATTTATATAATGCAAAAATTGTAAACAGCACACTATTTGGCTCCTAGATGCAGTGATTTTTAACAGAAACAGAAAAAAAATCATGCTGGCAAGAATATAATTATATATTCTGTAGAAGCTGAATAAATAACTAAATTGCACTGATTAGGTTTTTCTTGTTTATTCCAGGGAGACCAGTGGGGTATGGAAAATAACTATTGCTAACTATTTAGGTAAATTGACGTAGATCTGTAGCTTAAAAATTAGCTTTCTTTACTCTTTCTAAGTATGATAGTTAAGTGCCTCAGGAAGTTTAATCAATTGAAAAATCTACTCTGCTGTGAAGTAGGAAGACTTTTTCTGATCAGATGTCATCATTCCATCTATTTCATCTTATGAGGAAATTATAATTCAAAAATATTTTTGAAAAATCACCTTGCTGGCTGTTTTTTCTTCCAACTATCAAATAACAGTCAGCACTACTCTGTCATACTGTCTATCCTTGTGGTGCTGGAGTGAAAAATGGAGCAGCAAAGAGTTGTTCCTCACTTCTCCCAGCACCTAATATATAGTGACTGGAATATTTGAAACAGCCGAAAGAATACCTGATAAATAATTAACTGAAGTCTTTATGGATGATAAATAGAAACATTAAGGTGTTTTGGTGAAATTACTTAGTTGAGAAGTGTAGACAAAGCTGGTAAGTGTCTTTCCCCATCTGGTGTTACCTTGCGCTTCTCTCTTTCTTCAATGGCACCTATTTGCCCTCTGAACTTCTGGTTCTCCCTTAATGCTTCATCATGGGATTTGATTGACACAGAAAGAGCTTCCTCTCTACAAACAAGGAGAGACTGTGTCTTTTATGAAAAAGAGAGAGAGAAATGTTATTTTTCTAAATGCCAGGAACTAGTCTTGGGGGGGGGGGGGAAATGTTACCCTCAATTTTGTGCAAATAAGTCCATAACTAAACAGTACAGAGAGACTGGAATATTCAGAACTAGTTACCATTCCACATATATCCATGAGCCACAGAATATGTTCAAGCATCACTTGAAAAAAATGATTAGCAACCTAGATACAATCATTTTTCAAGGCAATTTAATCTAATGGTTAATATTAGGAAATGAATTCCACCACCTAATCTTACCATAAATGAAGCCCAGCACAAAAGAGATGTAAGATGAATTGCTGACACAAAATACTGTATATTGCAAATAAAAGCAGGTAGTGATAGGGACATGACATCAAATGCCAGTGTATAGTCTTATAATAAACTGTCTTACTATTTCTACCCACTGCCTATGGATTAGTATTATTCTCTCTTGTAGAACTAATTGTAGGATAAAACAATAATACCAAACAATAAAGTAACATACAAAGTGCAAAATAAAGCTTAAATTATTAAAAACTAGCAATGGAAACAACTTCCTATTTAAACAATATCAGATTTCTTTAATAGATACAACCTTCCGAGTTTAAGGATGAGTTTGATATAACACTTTTGTAAACGTGAACTTTTAACAAATCAAATTATTCTCTAGTTTTACAGGTGAATAATATACGGTATGTTTCCTTAACATTCTCGGCTCTTATCATAACACTTTAATTTCTCAAATTCCAGGCAGAATATGTCATCTTCATGTCTTTATCTATATTATGTTTTTTTTATTACATTAATCCCTTAGAGAAAATTTTCAAATCAAATTTCTGAATCATGCACGCTGTGTATGTGTGGGGAGCGGGGAAGACAGAGACTGAAATGAACCAGGTTGTTCAATATCAGGTGTGAATAAGAACATATGAATGGGTGTGCTTATGGATGCATGCGCGCGCACACACACAAACACACACACAGAGGTCCAGTACAGGCTAGTCTTTCTAGGGCTGAGAGAGAATGACTGACCCAATGATAGCCAGCTGGCTTCCTTGCCTAAAGAAAAACTGGAATCTCCCTACTTATATCTGACTGAGTAGCTGATATCCTCTTTCTGCATGTCAGTTTTAAACTCACCCTCTGGAGATCTGATCCCTCACTAACAATATCCCTGTCAGTTTCTAATTGTTTGCGGCTCCTGATTTTTCTTTTACGCTCCAGCTTCTCATCCACAGCCATGGCAGCTTTGAAGAAATCACGTGAAGAGGCTCTGCGATTATCACCACAATCAGAGACAGATTCCCTTCCAGGCAGATCAGTCATGAAACGAACTCTCCGTGTTGGAGAATAGAGGGCAGAAGCTTGTTCCCTAAGTTCCAGGTTGTCCTTTATGTCACAGGCCAGGCATGACCTAAAATGGTTACTGGACTTCTGCTGCCAGCAATTTTCCGAAGACTTTCTTTTTTTAAGAGGCATTTTCGCTATAAACTTTGTGGCTTAAGGAGAAATAAAAATCCTGGAGAAGGCAGATCAAGTTTGAAAAGAGTGGTGTCCATTTTCAAATACAGATTCTTATTCCCAACTACATATTTTTTTTAGAAGGCTGTTACATTACTGAGGTCTGAAGGGAGCCATTTTCAATCTGATTTTGTTCCCTTTCCCCATCAATGGCTGTTGAAAAGTTCTATGCTCAACAGCCCTTCTTATTCAAAGGTAAAGCTGTAGGTTCTCTCCCATATCATAGAAATGCTGGGACATCACCCTGTTCCATTTGTGATGTCATGAGACTCCTCCCCTTTGGTCAGAAAGTGATTTAAACAGTGTAATGTTTCACAATTCAGTTTCTGTAATGCACAAATTAAGTGAAAAGGTTGTGCCGGTTGACAAGTTGGATTAAATTTAACCTCTTATTATTATTTTCAAAATAGCAACATTGAGATCTGCAGTGGTAGGTCCTGGGAGGGTAAAATGCTCTGATATTGCTTTATAATCTTATTTTGATTATTTTGAGTCCTGATATCAAGTTGTGTCTGTTAATTCTTTTGTCTAAAATAAACTCAGAAAACCTTCCCTGCCTAAGAGAAAACTAAAACCTGGGTCTCCCTACTCTTACATGATTGCTCCATCTATTTTTCCAAAATTTGTTTTAATGCTCTAGAATTATTACTTATTCATTATTCCCATTCAAAAATCATCTAAATCAAAACTGTTAATATGTGTATTAATGTGTATTGTAAGTGTGTGGTTCCAGCCAACAGGAAAAATGTATATTAATACAAATGATTATTTAATTGTGTATAATGTATCTGTATTTGATCTTGTAGCATTTAAAATCTTAAAAATCAGAAACAAATATAATTCCAAGTAGAGTTTCCAAGAAGTTGATCCTTGTGGAATCAAAATGCTACTTCACTTTCTTGGCTCCAAAAGTGTTTCATGTTTATAGAAAGAAAAGATATGTATTAGATTAGAAATGGCTGACTGAACATTTAATCAGTTTAAAACGGCAGAGGGATGATAACTTTTTAAAGCCAAGAATCTCTCTAATGCACAGCTGGAAAATTATTGTAGGGTTTGAAGAAACTTAGGAGGCATTAGACCTGGTGAGGCAGCAAAGTACAATGTTAAACCCTGAATGAGGACTGCAAAGATCCAGATTTAATATCTGTTGAATATGGAGCTCTCTTCAACACAACTTGTTGTATAAAATTGTTATAGAAGGATAAAGTTAGAGATCTCCATGCATGCTGTCATAGAAAATGTAAATGCAATAAATAAATAAAATAATGTACAGAAAAAGGAACAAAGGCAGAAGACCAAAATCTAACGTATATATTACTATAGGTAGCTCCAACACTACAAACGCGTTATGTCTATTACATTTTTAGAGTACCTGATCATATTTAGCCTTCAGGGCTATACAAAATTGGCGGAGCTGATTATTTTCTGATTGCACATATATGAGGGACTGCAGTTCTTCTTCCAGTTGCTGTACTCTGAGCTAGGGGAAATGAAAGATGGCTTTCAGCTTAAACATTTTCTAAAATGTCTGGAGAACATATGATGAACAGAATCCGGTAGAATCTACAGATAGACTGTAAAAGGTTATGGTATAAGATTATAAAAAGTCAGATTCTAACAGGTGAAATCAAAGTGGTCTAAAATATATCAGCATGCAATTCTTGTGTTATTTAAATCTATTCCTCATGATGGCATGTACTTTTGCACATTTAGCAATATGCCTTATTTTTTACTGAGCATCCTCTCTAACTCTCCTTGCAATATTAAATCGACTGTCATTTCAGTACAGCTCATTGAAATTACAGGCAGTTTAATGTCTGTTTGGACTTAATGACAGTGCTGAACAAGTGGCACACACATCCAGTCCTAGAAGTTTTGGTTGAATCATTTCAGCCACTGGCCCTCGCTCCCATTTGCATAGTGTTCCGCAGTCAGTCATGTGATTGTAATTTGTGACCTTCCTTGCCAACTTCCCACAAGCAAAATCAATGGGGAATTTGGCAAGAAGTCAAAAGCCACATGAGATCCTCACTTAATGACCAGCTTAACAAAGACTAGGACTGCCTTTGCTAAGCGGTGCAGTTACAGGGTTGTTCAATTTATGACTGCATTGCTTAATAATAAGAGTTTTCAGTTCCAATTAGCACTGTTAAGCAAAGACTACCCGAAAGGTAATATTTTCAACTAAAAGCATTTACATAGTGACATTACCAGTTTAATGACTAAACTGTCACTCTTCCTAAGTATGTCTTCACTGTTACTTATTTCCTATGCCTCTTCTTCATTGTCATCCGAAAATATCCATCATCTCCTAGACAATACAACCAAGTTATAACATTGTTTCTATGCCATAGGAATGATCTACTTTGCGTCTACAAAGCCTATCTTTGTATTTCTACTCTTTGTTTAGTTTTCAGGCCTATAAGCTGTTTATTTATAATATGTTTCAAACAAAAACAGTAGTTGGACTTAATGAAAATGCCACAGAAGCCCCTTACTGTGCTGCAGCTGTAATGTTTTAAATCTGGGAATCATATTGGTGAAGTTAGGGAACAGCACCTGCTCTTGTCTTAAAATCAAGAATGGCTTTAAACACTGCAGCAGTGGGATGAACCCATGGAAAGCAGCTTATGCTATGTTACTAACAAGACTTAAAGAGGGGATCATATACAGATTTCTCACTCCTGGCTTTAACAGCAAACTACCCAAAAAAATGTTTTTAAGCTTTCAAGCCAAATGTCTCTTTTTCACAACACTCTAACATACAAACCTGGTAAAAATTCTAAAATATCAGAATCAATTGTTACTATTTCTCTTTTCACTTGCTTGCCCCTTTTTTCCCTTTAAAAAAGGTTTTTTAAAAAAACACCAGAGCCACAATCTACCACGCTTCAGCTTGAAGAGATTTTTGTTAAATTTACGCACATGTTTATCACCTGTCTTCATGCAGAACAGCATTCACTGATAGAAAACACAAGATGGTTCAAGCATACTCAAAAACAGATTTTATTCATCCCCCTCATCTCCAGAAATAAAGAGGATTATTCAGGCAGGCAGCAGTAGGAGTGTCTCTAAAGCAAAAGAAGACACACACACACCTCCAAATATTCTGGATTCAACCATCCCAGCTCTTTGTTTAATCCTTGTGAGGTGGGAGCAAGGGACACAAGGATCCTCAGTGTTCCTATTCCTCATTCAAGAAACTATGCTGAAAAATAGTATAGATCTAATGATCGGGAGAAAGTAAAAGAAGGTGAATAGGAAGCTCAAGAATCATCCTTCTTTCAATGATTTAGATATCTGAATTTTCTCTTTAGCAGATGCACCTTTTTGTTATCCTGTAACTTTTCAAACTTTACGGGCTGATGCCTTATACTCACTAAGCTAAAGTGCCTGGCTTTTCCTGCTCAGGCTTAGAAATTTCTCTCCTCATTCTTTTTCTTCGATTTCATTCAACTGTGATTCCAGAGTCTTTAGCAAATGGTGAAGAAAGGAAGTAGTCATAAACTTTCATCATTAGCTCAAAGCATAATAAAAGAGAAAAGGCTAGTTGGAGTATTAGCAAAATGAAACAGAGAAGCCTGCTCTTTGTAAACCAAAGATATTGAAACTAAGGTTTGGGTAGTTCAGCCTTCCATTCTGGAGATAGCTAGAGTAACTGTTTCTTTTCTCCAAAACATTAATTCAATTTATTTATTGAAGCATTTATAGTTTGCCCTAAGAATCTTGGGGTGCGTCACTATCCATAAACTAAAAAAAAATATCTTTCAAACACTCTTCTTCCTATACCTTATATACTCCCAAGAGTTTTAGATACCAAATTACATCCCAAAAATTGTGTTTGGCTTCTCTGCAAATTTACAGTAATACTTTTAAAAATTAGCCATATATCCCGTATACACTTGCAGAAACGCTCACCCATGGATAATTAACCAAAAAAACTATGAAAAATGTGCCACTCACAGATAAGCCCATTGTGAAAATTAAAAATATACAAAGTCAGGGTCAACTTTTCATGGTATTTTGGTTAACATTTTGAAGGTTGGTCATCTGCAGATGGGCTTATATGAGAGTGTAGATTATTTCTCAATCTCAGCAATGTTAAGATGCGTGGACTTCAAGTCCCAGAATTGCCTTGTCAGAATGCTAACTGGAGAATTCTGGGAGTTGAAGTCCACCCATCTTAACTGAGATGATAATAAGGTTCCATTATCTCTTGGTATTACTACATAAATAGACAATTACGTAGCTTTTTGAGTTAAAAAGCTGAATGGATTGCATGTGGAAGCAACCATTGTTAGTGAGTCAGCCCCATTCCCTTGTAATAAATATACTATAAAAAGAAATTATTTATGTGGAGACTCATTAAGGGAACCAGAGGTAGGAGAGGATAATGGCCCAGAACACCTTAGTTCAAGTCACAGCCTGACTGCAGAATCTTACTTCAGTGCTGACCACAGGAAAATGCCCAATAAAACTGGGAGAACAAGCAGGCTGCTGGGTTAACAATGAACCTGCAGAGTTGACAGGAAACAGGTGAAAGGTTATTGCTACACTTCTCTTTCCCTGAGATACCAGTCCTGAATGTAAAAGTAAAATGGGGAACTAAGTCAAATGAAACAGACATTGTAAAAACTGCAGATATGATTAAAATAAACCTTTGATTCCAATGAAACTGCAAAAAGTATTGATTTTTTTCTTAACATTCCTTTTTGTTGAAGGTTATTTTTTTATTGGAAGAGAAGAGATATCATCAAATGACTTTACATCTTATGCCAGGTTGTACTTTCTCAGTTGCATACCTTTTGGTGCTTAAGTGCAGCATCCTGCTCCAGAAATTCCCTTTTTTCTTTCTCTAGCGCTCTCACTGACTCCTGCAAAGAATTAATTTCCAACTTAAAAAAGAAACAGAGACTACATTTCAGGTGCCATAAAATATAGTCAATTATTTACACTTTGAACCATCTGGTAAATGAAACATGTCTAAATATTTCTCTAGCAGCAGAGGGAGCCAGACAATTACTAGTTATCTACAGCATCAGGGGCTAACATCTAAAACTACTAAAAATGACAAATAATTAGTCTTGCATTTATAAACATCAGCTTAAAATCAATACCTTTGCTGTGGTTATCGTGCATTTATCTAGAAAATATACTTTGTTAATACAATGTTTACATCATGTTTAGCTGGTTGCAGAACTTAGTAACACAAACAAGGCCCAGTTTTGAACTAAATAACCCTAACATACTGGATTATTTCATTGAATAAGTGTTTGATATCTTGAATTAAACAGAGGTTAAAAATAATAGGCCAGGTTTAGGGACGCCTCCTCTGTCTTTCCAAGTTTATTCCAAACAAATCTGAATTTACAACCCAATGAATTGCAAATCAATTGACAGACTTAACTGTTGGCCAATGGGAACCTCAATACTTTCAACACTTGTGAATAATCTGTACCTTTTTTTCCGTTAGTTCAGCTTCCAACCTTTCTATCGTTCTTCTGGTTTCTTGTATTGTTTGCTGCGACTGCCATAAAGAATTAAAATAGTTTTTGGTCAACACTTCAAGGAAAATCTAAGCTATTATATGTTTTTCTTGATATACATTAGGGTCACTTTTGTAAAAATCTGAATCTGCAGTGATTAGTGACAACTCATCAAATACCACACAGACTATATACTGATTTTCTATGTAATTTTCTGGGGCAGATTTTTTTAAAAATATCTAGCACTGAAATATTCTTTTCGGTCAATTCAAATCTTGCGAATACTATCAGTATAGGTAGTCCTTGACTTACAACCATTTGTTTAGTGACCCGTTCGAAGCTACAACAGCACTGAAAAGAGTGACTTATGATCAATTTTCACACTTATGACCCTTGCAGCATCCCTGGGGGCCACGTGATTAAAATTCAGATGCTTGGCAACTGGCATGTATTTATGACAGTTGGAAAGGCAATGGAGGAAGCCAGATTCGCTTAATGACTGAACGATTCACTTAACAACTGCAGTCATTCACTAAACAACTGTGGCAAGAAAGGTCACAAAATGGGGCAAAATCAGCTTAATAATTGTCTTGCTTAACAATAGAAACTTGGGGCTTATTTGCGGTTGTAAGTAAAGGACCACCTGTAGGTGCCATTTTGTATATTATGCAAAGCAACAAACATCTTTTTTTTTTAACTAAGATTTAACTAATGAACATGTAAGGTCCTACTGACAAAAATGTGGGTTTTACTGAAAAACACAATAAATACCCATTATACCTCTTCTTCAAGTATCTTTTTTTCCTTCAGCAAAGAATTTCGCTCCTGTAGAATTGTCTCCAGTTCATTTTGGATTTGGGAAATTGTACACTCCAGGTGGTTTTTTTCAGTGGCAATGGTGTCTTCTTTACAGTCCTTCTTCTTGCATTCGGCATGCTCGGTGCGCAAGTCTTCTCTGCAGAATAAACACAACTGTGTGGCAGTCCTGTTATCCTCTACATTCTTCACAAATTTCAGAAGACAGTGCAAGAAGCTGAATAAGGGATAGCTGGCGCTAAACTAAGGGACAAATACAGAAAGCAGCAGGACAGGAAGAAAGCGGGTCACACTTGGGAAACAACCACACAAATCTCAATTGCCTCTCACAGTTCTTTCTGGAGCTGAGCTTTTTCCCTCTGCACAACCTGCAGCTCTCCCGTAACACTGGCTTGAGCAGCATCCAAAATCAAGTCTTGTTCCTTCAGTTTCTGATTCATTTTTTCTTGTTCCACCTTAATGAATGGGAAAGAAAAGAAACTTATGCACATGTAAGTAACAATAAGGAGAGCCAGTTCAGTCTAGTGTTTAAGGCACCAGGCTAGAAACCAAGAGATTGTGAGTTCCAGTCCTGCATTAGCAATGAAAGCTGGCTGGGTGACTATGGTCCGATCCTTCTCTCTCAGCCCAACTCACCTCACAGGGTTGTTGTTGTAGGGAAAATTGGAAGGAGGAAAGAGTATTTAGGTATGTTTGCTACTTTGTTATATATAAAATAATAAAGGGCAGGAGAAAAATCAACCAACCAATCAGTCATATCTGCTGCTATCAGCTATGACCATTCTGAATTGGCAGGCTCTGTTCAGAGTAGCTCATGCTTTATTTTATTTTTTTATATATATAATTTTTATTGATTTTCTCATATTACATTTACATATTTGAAAAGCAACGTGGTGGCTGAGTTACAGTAGTTCAATTACATGCAGATATCATTAGTGCAGATCTCAAACTATTACCATAGATATTCCCTCTCTTTTCCCCCTTAATATATACTGTCTATATTTAAACTAATACAATTCTTATTCTACTAATCAAATAAAAAATGGTTTTCTGACATTTGTCAATAGCTTTTAGGAGAGGAGCTCATGCTTTAATTCCCTCCACATGGAGCTGCTTTGAACACCATGCAGAAGCTTGAACTGGTGCAGGTTACAGCCAGTTTCAACCAACAGAAGTACCAAACTAACACGCAACACTCCTACATCCAGATTTGCTCTGATTGCTAGTTGGCTTCAAGTGCAATTCAAGATCTAGAATTCTTCAAAGCCCTTTATGATCCAGGACTTGAATATCTTTGGCCTGCCTGCTCCCAGTTGCACCTGCCCATCCAAAAAGACTGAACAGGGCAAGCTTGCTTCAGGTCCCTTCTCTTAAGAGATTTTCCTACACGGTCCAGAAGTTCAGCCTTCTGAACTGCAGCTCTCTTCATTAGAAGAGTTTATTTCCTGAGATCAGAATAGCCCAGCCCTGTTGAGTTGTACAAAAAGTGTAAACAATTGCTTTAAAAAAAAAAAAAAGCTCTGGGAAGGAAACTTGAATGAGTTTGGGGCCCACCTGAGTTGTGTTTGGATGCTTATTGTTCTTTGGTGGTGACAGTCATTTTTGGTAATTGACAGGTGATCTTTCTAATATTGTTTTGCTATTTTAATTTTCCGATGAAAGGAAAGGAATGGAAGCTATTCAGAATCCCTCTGCACTGGAGCAACAAATGCTCCAAAATGCAAAGCAAGCAAGTCGGAAAATAAAGGTGTGAAATGATGAACTAGTTTCCAAAACAAACTAGATCAGCACTTGAAATTCCCCAGCTTTGTCACTGTAAGGGCTGCCCAGCTAATTTCTCTTCACAATGAATAAAGCCTGACGTTAACAGAAATGAGGAGTCAGCAATTCTTTGCTTGATTTTTCTTTCAGCAAGTTTTTGAGTTTATTATTTTTTCACATTTTTGAACTGCCCATCTCCCTCAAAAGGGGACCCTGTGTGATATATAATAAAATATGTTTGTGAGGCAGTCTGCCTCTAGTCTATGCCTAAGAGTTTGCATCTTTTACTTCATCTAAGGATGCAATCTGCTACAAGACAGATCCTGAACATCAGCCATATCTATGTTCATAGATTTTAATAATGTATTCTGATGGAGACTTCTTGAAATCTCACCTATTTAAACAAATACACAGGTTCTCCTTTGTCTACCACATTGGTTCCATCTGGTTGATATATTACAAAACATGGCTGGATTCCTGTCTATACAACCACCCAGAATCACATTAACAAGATAGGTGGCCATATCAATAAATAAAATGAAGCTAACAATTTACTGTTTTTAACAGACAACTTACATTTGTATACATTAAAATAGAGGTCCCCAACCTTTTGGGCACCAGGAACCGGTTACGTGGAGAGAGGTTTTTCTGCGGACCTGAGGGTGCGTGGTTTTGTGTGCTGCCTGCAACCTGTGGATGGGGCTTTCCTTGTTTGTGCGGCCTGGTTGTTGGCATGCCGTGGCCCGGTACTGGTTGGGGACCCCTGCATTAAAATGTACTCTGTACCTGAAGAGCAGTCTGATGATCTGAAGTAAGTTGAGCATTTTCCACAGTAGCTTTTTGAAGAGCACCACTTAGTTCTGCGCACTGTTGAGCCAACTGGTCATTAAGTTTCTGAAAAAGAAAACAGATTTTCTGCAACAATAGACACAAGTTCTCTGACAAGATAAGCAGTTCTGGCTTCTCCCTGTTAAAAAGCAGTATACATCTAGTCCTGTGTTTTGTTCATAGATGGGTGATAGACATTGTTTATTGTATTTTACCTATAAGAATTTCTCCAGGCTGCTTTCCTTATTTTGGCAACAAATGGATACAATTCCATGGAATTGAAAGGTGTGTGTCAATTCTAGGTCCTTTGCTAAGACCCACCCCCACCCCCCATCCCCCCTCATTGCCTGTCTGGTAGTTTCCCAACAGTTCAGGAGCAATGTTTTGCGATGATCATTCCCGACCCTTTGACCAGTAAATCTCACATCCCCAATTTTCCTAAGAACTGAAAACTCCTTTCTCAGAAGCAAATTAGAACAACACACAGAAAAAAATACCCAGATTTTATAGATATTTGTCTCTTGTGCCCTATATACAGGTAGTCCTCATTTAGCAATTGCCTCACTTGGCAACCATTCACAATTACCATGAAAAATAATATTACAACCAGTTTTTACATTTACAACCTTCACAGGTCTGTAAAGCAAAGGAAAGCTGAATCATAAGCACTGATGATTGCTTTGCTTAATGACCAAAATGTCAGTCCCAGCTATAGACACTAAAAGAGGACTAGCGGTAATCTAAAACAAGCTTGCAATAACAGGAATATTTCTTACCTGTGCCTTACTTGCTACCTCTTGTAAAGTAAATATTTTTGTTCGAAACTTTGTATTCTTTTCTTGTGCTGTGTTCAAAGATAGCTGTGTAGTCTAGATGAAAATAAGATTGTCTTTAGGAAAAAATATTTTAACCCAAGCAAGGGCTAATGGATTGCAAACCAGAATCATCTTGTATTTTACATAATGGTTCTCTCCAGCACAACTCTTTATATATTACACTACAAAAGCTTTCTTGCGTAGTGTAGTCAAAGTCTTATAAAAAGAATTTCTATACTATATTTTCCACCCATTGATTTTCTTTTTATGCTTACTTGGATTTCTTCTCGTAGCTTGGAAATGGTCTTGTCTCGGGATTCTACAAAAAAAAATTAAAATGCAGCTAGCTATTTTAATCAGACATCTAACTGTTTAACTAATATTCTGCCCTAATAATAACAATAATAACAACAAAACAGATACAGAGTTTCTGCACTCCAAGAAAGCTATTTTTAAATAACACACTCAGCATTTGCCTCTAGAGCAGCGGTTCTCAACCTGTGGGTCGCGACCCCATTTCGGGTCGAACGACCATTTCATGGGGGTTGCCAAACAACACAGTCCGCCATTTTTTCCCCCTTTTCCTTAGCTGTGCTACTCCCTTTTATTCTATTGGCTTTTGAAAGCCAATAGAATAGACTCTCTTGAATAGAGTCTAATTCTATTGGCTTTCAAAAGCCAATAGGAACTGTCCAGGCTGTCTCTGCCCTGCTGAGCCCGCCAAAAATCCTATTCTGCAAACGGTGCTGCAAGTTGTCTGCAGCGAAGGCGAGCTGTCTGGAAGTTTCCACCCCTCCCTGCTGAGCAACTACTAAAAATGTAAGTAAAAGAGGGCCAGGAGTGAGAGGTGGGAGGCCGGCGGGCGCAGGGAGGGTTGCTGGTGCACGTGGGGCCCGGCAGGTGCCTTACCTCCCTTGGGCTGGGCCAGCTGGTGGCCCAGCCGGTGGTCGGCCTGCTCCGTCTCTGCTGCTTGCCAGCTACGCCTTGGCCGGCACAGGGGGCGGCACCACGCATGTGCGGTGCTCCTGGGCAGGGAAAGTCCTCGACTTACAACTGGTTGGGTAGTCCTTGACTTACAACCGGTTAGGTAGTCCTCGACTTACAACCGGTTGGGTAGTCATCGACTTACGACCGGTTGGTGGTCGCGGCATTAAAAAGGTTGAGAACCACTGCTCTAGAGTACTGTATGCATTTATGAAATCCAAAGTAGTATTTTTCTGCATGCAGATTTAAATTTGCAAGCTGATTTGATGAGAGCATCTCCAAGGCATTTCCTGTAATAGCCATAACTAATATGAATGATTATGCTGTCCTGTTTCACCTGGATGAAAATGGCCTAGTTATTTTTTTGAAGACATACATCAATAGATCACTCACTAAGACTTTAGGTAACTGGTTCTATCATCACGCTACTTTAAAATTACGGTAATAATTTATTTTTGCTTACAAGCCTTCCCATGTTTGGATTTCATGCCTGATAAAACATAACTTCCACTTCACTGACTAGGGACAAACTTCATCCAACTATCTTAGAACTTTGACTTATACTTTCTCTGTTCAACAAAACTGGTCCTTTGTTCCCTTGAAAAACAGTTACAGCTTAAAAGAAGTTAAGAAAAAAACAGCAATTAAAGACATTTCTAATTAACTGATCTATCATTGATCAGTGATAACCAGAGTTGTTTTAAGAAATAGAAAACATCCAATACTTCGATTCCAATACCTAGATCAGTTTTAAGATGTACACATTCCTGCTCCAATTGATGTATCTTCTCTTGTTCTTTCTGTAATGTCTCCTGAGATAGCTGAATATTATGGCGTAGAATGTTACAATCCTGCTGCAGAATTTGCACCTGTAATGGCATTTGAAACATGCATTCTGTAAAATATAGGCATTTCTTAAAACAATTTAAGAAATATGAAAAATGAACAAGCTAAATGAAATTAAATTATTCAGTTGAATAGCTTATCATGTAGATTATTAACCCTGAGGATCAGGATGGGAATACCAACAAATTTGAAGAATAATTCAAAAGCAGATTTGAATGCTGGCTCATGGCCACATTTTTAAAATTAAAAAAAAAAAAAATCAATGTCCAAAGGCAGCAATAGGTATGTAGTGATATCATGGGAAGAGAAGGATTGGGTGGGCAGGGCTTAAGGAAATTTTGAAGGATTTTGGTGGATGGCAGGAATACTGAAAATCATGCCACTGAAAATCATTGGGGTTGCCAGGGCTTTTTTTCTCATAGAATGGCCAGAACGGAGTTCCGGCACCTTTTTGGGATGGAACCTTGTAGGGTAGGCAAGGTGGGTTGTATGACGTGTGAGTTCCGGCACCTTTTTTTTTTTTTTTTTAGAAAAAAAGCACTGGGGATTACCATCAAATTTTGGTTGTGTAATTTGGAAACTGCAAAATGGGGACTGGGATTTGTTGTCCACTTCAGATATGGCCACCTACTTCCAATGACAGCTGACCTAAAAACCCATCATTTAGACCAGTGGTTCTCAACCTTCCTAATGCCGCGACCCTTTAATACAGTTCCTCATGTTGTGGTGACCCCCAACCCCCCATCCAGCTGGCCGGGGAGGGGGGGGCAGGAAGGCTGCTCCGCCGGCTCCGCCCAGCCTGGTTGGAAAAGCGCCATTCCTCTTCCTCTTTCTCTCTCTTTCCTCTCTCTCTTTCTTTCCTTCCTTCCTCTCTTTCTCTTTCTCTATCCCCTCTCTCTTCTCTCTCTTTCCTCTTTCTCTTTCCTCTCTCATTTCCTGTTTCTCTTTCCTCTTTCTCTCTTTCCTCTTTCCTCTCTCTTCTCTCTCTCCCTCTTTCCTCTCTTTCCTCTTCCCGTTTCTCTCTCTCTTTCTCTTTTTCTCTTTCCTGTCTTTCGCTTTCCTCTCTCTTTCTCTATCTCGTTCTGTTTCCTCCCTCTCTTTCTCTCTTTCCTCTCTCTCTTTCTCTCTCTTTTCCTGTTTCTCTCTCTTTCCTCTCTCTCTCTTACGGAAGCATCGTTAGGGGTCCCTGCCGCCCCTGGCCCGGTCTCTGCCGTGTCCTCAGCTGAACGGGCGGGGAGGGGGAGCAGGATGGGAGGCAGCAGCTCTGGCAGCGGCGGCCACTGCTGCATCATCGGGGATCCCCTCCGCCCCCGGCCCAGCCCCTGCTGGCTCCATCAATGGAGCCGCAGTGGGGGCTGGAGCCGCGTGGCCCCTGCCAGCCCCTCTACCAGCCCTTCTGCCAGCCTGGCTGCTCCCCCCCAGGCACCCCTTTTGCCCCAGCACCCGCCCGAGCCGCCTTGGGGGCAGCAGGAGGAAGGAGAGGAGGAAGAGGATAGCAAGGAAGCCGCCACCAGTGCTGGGCCCCAGGAGGCGGCTCTCCTCTCTTACCTTTGCTGAATCTCCTTCTTCCTTCCTGACAGCCTGGACTCCAGCGCATCTTCCTGGCCAGCGGGTCCAATGGTGGGGCTGGCTGGGGATCGCAGGGGCTGCTCTCCCTTGGGCCGCGGGTTGCGGGAGGACTGGCCTGCTCAGCGGAGCCTCCAGCAGGCCGCTCCCAGCAGGGATCCCGGGGTTCCCTGGGCGGCTCCAAGGCCACAAGGCCCTGGCCGCACTTCTCCCAGGGGGTGGGGCTCCTGGGCGCAGGGCCAATCAGGAGCCCTGCAGGAGGTAAGTCCGCCTGAGAGAGAGAGAGAAGGGAAGCAAAAGTGCCTCTCTGTCTCTCTCTCTCTGCAAATGGCAGAGGAGGCCATGCAGAGACAGATGTGGAGCAGTGTCTCGGTTCTAAGACCATCGGAAATATGTGTTTTCCGATGGTCTTAGGTGACCCCTGTGAAAGAGTCGTTTAACCCCCAAAAAGGCCATGACTCACAGGTTGAGAACCACTGATTTAGACTGATGCCAACCCTGTATCTGATGGATTATACTAACGGAACAAAATATACACATAGAATTTGTTCATTATCAAATTTAGTTGATTGCCAACCTCTGTCAAAATCTGGCATACTAGCCAGGTAATGTAGACTGTGATGCTGGACAACCACCCAGTAGACATATTCTATGATTACTTCTTGCTAGTCAAATAAAGCATACATTTTTCCAAATTGCAGCATGCTGTCTATTCTCATCAACTGAATGAATATGAGTAACACATAGGTGATCGAGGGCTGGCACAGGAAGGTTTTCTTAATGGTATGCAATCGTGTGCACATTACAGATGGCCTTCCAGCCATCTGCTTAATAGGGAAAAAATGAACATTTATATACATCAATGTTTGCATTAGTAAATTGTCTTAATAAGCCTGGTTGTAGCAGCAGTAATTTAATATTCTGCTTTAATGGTATGCTGCTGCAATCTTACATGTCAATATTAGTCCCTCAGCATCCTGCAGGCACATTCTTTGGTCATATCCTAGCAGAAAGGCATCTAGTACCTGCTTTCGTTCTTTTTCCACCATTGCTTCCATATCACGCATCTGATAAAGAAGGACCACCTGGTCTTGTTCCAAAGACTCCCTTGTGCTGGACTCCTTGGATAATTTCTCCATTATCTGAAAAAAAGAATGTAATGCAGAAAGGCAACACTGAAGACAAATCTGGGGGTCTCACCTTGCAAATCACAATGCAGAGACTTGGACAATATACTTGATGGACATGAAATATGTGTTCTTAGTCTGAAATGGTTTTATCTTTTCTCTGCAAAAATAAACCTAGCTTTTCAATTGAAAACCTCTTCCCAAATGATAACAGGATCTCTTGGAGAATATCCTAAGAATCTACAGCTCATGCGTTCCCTTGTGCCTATAGCCCTGCCTTATCTAGTACTTTTTAAAATGTATTACCCTCCAATTTTCTTCTGCTCTTACCTCTTGGAGTTTATTGTTCATTTTTTCTTTTGTTGCTCTCAATTCTTCAGCTGAAATGGTTACATCTCTCTGCAAAGATCAAAACAGCCCCTTTAGACAACTCTACCAAAATGTGCAAACATTTTTCAAAATACTTTTTTATAGCCTTTAGCTGTGAGGTTTGTCTGCAGGTCCAATAGGCCTCTGGCACTTGGATTTATGGGATACAGCATAGCTTTCTTAAAGCCCTTTTTAGTAGTCAAATCTCTATCTTTCCCATTAATTCATTCTTGAACCTGCAACTTCAATACCATTTAAATCAATGAAATTGATGCAGCATACAGATTCCACCAATATAGAACCATATAGGAATATGAACAGAATTAAAAATGTTTCTATAAATTGCAAAGTATGTAATCAATAAACAATGTTATTGTCAGCAGTTTATTCCACAATGCTCTCTGAAACAGCTAGAGTTTTTACTTGCTTCAGAAAATCAAAATGTTATGTTTTGGACTAATCCTTAGTTAACAACCATTGTTTAGTGATGGTCTGAAATTACAATAGCCCAGAAAACTGTGACTTAATACCAGTCTTCATAGAGGTGCTGATTGTAGCATCTCCGTGATCATGACTGTGATTCAGGCACTTGGCAATCATTGTGCATATACAATGGTTGCAGCTTCCTGTGATCATATGGTTGCCATTTGTGACAGTCCCAGCCGGCTTCCGACAAACAAAGTCAGTGGAAAAGCCAGAAAGCGGTCACACATTGCTGTCATATGATATCTCATTTAACAAATGGGGTGATATTTTTAAAATGACTGCAACTGGAACTGCTAGAACTGCCATTGTAAGTTGGCATGGTCACTTCAGTTAACAACTATTTTGGCTACTGATGGAATTACTAGTCCTAATTATATTCATTAAACAAGGACTTCCTGTACTCCAGAAGTGTCCATGGATGTTATCAAAAAAAATCAAGAGGGCTGCAAAGGTGTAGTTGAAATATCACCTACGTTTAATATGCATTATCGATGCAAGGCACATAAAAAACAGGCAGAACCTTGATCACACCATTGCAGCCATCTTCTTGACTTTTTTGACCACTCATTGCCAATATCCCGGGACTACTCTTATTTTCTAGGGATATTTTATTCCACAACAGGGAAACTCCAACAAAGAAGGCTTTCTTCCCTCATGGGGTTGAGGACTTTTAATATATGTTCTTTGCCTGAACCTTTTGGGCAGGCAGATTCTACATATACAGACCTGCATATAACCGGACTCCCAGCCATATAGAGCTTTATAGTTATGATCAGCAACCTCAATGGCATTGGGAAGCAAACCGGCAACCAATGCAGCTCTTGAAATACTGATGTACAATGACAACAATAGGTCATTCCTGATTCTAAGTGGTCCTCAAGGGCAGTCCCATGTAGAAGATACATAATTCAAACATGAAGTGACATAACTACCATTGCACCACCTATTCCAGGAAAGGCTGGAATTGGCACACAACTGAAGAAAAATTCTCATTGTTATGGCCCTGCTGGACTTCTGATGAGAAGGAAGAGGAAGTACAAACAGGGTCTTCTATGGATAACAGTCCTGGAGGGGGGGGGGTTGACTCTAGTAGAGTCGAAGCCACTAACTCCACCCTGCCTGAGGCAGGTCCACCTAACCCGCAGGACTCCCTGTCAAAAACCATTCACAGCCTCTCAGATTCTGAGAGTCATTCAATCAGTCCAAGCAGAAACATACTTAAAGATGCAACATCGGAGGGCCGGCTTCTGAACATCAGATAGACTGTCCAAGAAGTAGGCTAGCATCAAATGAGTAATAAACCTCGGCTGTACATCTGGATGATGGCTCAGCGTGGTTTATTTATTGGCCTCAATCTCTGAGAGAATATGCTGAGAATAACTTTTCAAGCCTCAGCTCTGTCACGTTCACCTTCTTGCCATGCTTTGAACTCTGGATTCCACCTCACAGCGTCTGTTAACTTCTCCCTTGGATTTGTCATCTTTATTGGATTCAAAGCCTTGACCTATGTCAAGCCTTGACCATCTTTAGCTATAAAAAGGACTCTTTGCTTCTGAAAGTTCTGCCTGCGTTTCCCCAATATGCTATCTTGTTAACTGGCAGCCAGCAGTACTGGCCAGAAAATTCATTGCCGTGGCTTCTACCTGCTCTTCTAGCAGAAACAGGTTCTGGAGGAGCATGATCCCATCTAAAGCTAAATCTGATACCATCCCACATTCTCAGTAATGTTCACACACACCCCTAAAGGATGTTGGAGACCAGGCTATGCTGTTCTAATATGACTGGGTAGGGCCGGTCCCTTTAAGGAAAGGGCACACACTAGTGTCTTAGTAAGGACAGTGGCAATTCTACTTCCCACAAAAAGGTATTTATCATAACCTGAGTCCAGCTTCTCCTCAACTGCATGCACCAGCCAAAAAAGATAAGGATCCAGCCCATTGCTGATAGAGTTCATCTGATCAAGGATTCTTCATTAGGATTCTTAGGCTCAAATTCTTCTTAGATGACATTGCAAAACATCACCCCTCCCAACTGTCTGACCTCTGTCCAGCTGGTTTCTACATTCAAGCAAATTTTATCTGCACAATGTCTAGCTATCAGGTCACTGCAGCTCATTTCTAATTCCTCCGGCTATCCTTTTCCAAACAATTCCAGGTTATTATAAAGAGCATCACTGGACAGAGAATTCCACAAATCCAGTAAAGACAGGTAAATAATTGCACTCAACACCTTTGCTACCACAGTGTAGATACAAACCTGAATTTATACCCGTGCCCATTCAGATTTGCTCTTTGTTTTCTGTCAGTGTTACTCTGTCTAGAATATTTTTTGGCCCTTTCTCATTTTGAAATCTCTTAGTAAGCCAAAGAGCCTCTCACAGTCACTGAATAGAAGAGCTATCTTACTGTGGGACTTATTACTTTCATATTCCCAAAGATTAAGAAGGCCCTCTACAGGAGGAGTCCTCAACCTTGGCAACTTTAAGACCTGTGGACTTCAACTCCCAGAATTCCTCAGCCAGCAAAGCTAAGCATTGCGTTCATAATACCACATATTGTTTTGAATTGTTGAACATATTCCCTCTTGCTACTATTGCCAAACTTTACAGATTTTAATATTTATGTGTGTGAATAGATATATGTGCATACACATCAGATAGATTGTACCACAATGCATTAAACCTAATGGTATTATAACTTCACATAATGAATTGGGGAATCTGTCAGGAACTACATGCTACAAAATCTGTAAAATTTAGGACAGGGCTAAAAAGCTAGGAATTTCAAATGAGCAAGGAAAAAAGGAACATATAAAACTGTACTTGAAAGAATCAAGGGTATTTATTGAAGGTCCCCAAATCCCAACTACTGCATCTCATTCAAGTCTGCTTAACTTTCCTCCTTCAAAGAGAATCCTTGCCAGCACCTAACATCTATCACTTCATTTTTTTTTCCTGTTAGAATGTTGATCTTTCTCTCTCATCTAATTTAATTAATACATATCCTAACCAATCTATGTGGAATGACTATGAGACAATCCATTTTTTTTATTTCTCTGGCCAGTGCAAGTAAAACCATAGGATTTCTGGCCTCTCTGTAAATAGCAAGGAAAACTATACCAGCAGTGGGAAAAACAATACTAACAGTGGAGTCCTTGGTGCTTTCTGAGCTTGTTTGCCTGCAAACATTTCATTCATTCCAAAGGGGCAAATCACATCCCTCACAAAAACTGTATATAAACACGGAGCAAAACCCACTCACTTACACTGATGATGTTACTTAGTTGGTAATGAAAGCTCAGAGACAACACCACAGTTCAACTTGAGCTACATATATTCTCTTCTATTAGAATACTATGAGCTATTCCCTTTAAGTAAGGTCCATGCAAGTAATAAGCCACAATTATTTGCACTAGCTTAGTGTGCTATGTGGACCCAGCTATTGCAGTTTGAAAATGATTGATGCAGATGAAACTGAGCCAATTATACCTTAGTAAAGAAATCATGGCTTACCACATTGGGTGAATTCAGCCCTAATGTTCCTTTTAAGACCAGTAATGGAATAGCATGATTTACATTAAACTGGAGATTAAAGAAGCAACAGAAAGAAAACTATACTTTTGTTGCAGTTGCAATTTCTAGGGCAGCGCTTAGCTTCTGCACTTGATTTCTGGCTTTTTCTTCCTCTTCTCGAGACTCCTTCAGCTGCTGGCATAGCATTCTCCCTTCCATTTGCAGCACCTTTAGCTCTTCCAAGTGTTCCTCCTGTATTGTATTCAGCCGCTGTTCTAAATTGGCTACAAAATAGTAAGGGAGAAACTGAGTCGTATTATAGTCATATTCAATAAAATTGCCCAAACTTCCCATAAGAGGCACTCAAAAAGGTTTATCAGATAAAAAAGTTGCCCACCAGCCAAAAAACATTATGATTCGATAGAAAGCATTATCCTGAACTGGAGATTTGGATCACAGATTATCCTGTGTTGCTATTTTGGATGGTAATAAGATATCCTATATCCAATCATATAAAAACAGCAGTATAGTTGACTGTGGCTCTCGAATTGCCTATCCAAGCTCTCTTTGCAGTCCTCAGAAATCCCTCAATTCAAGATTGTTACACACACACACACACACACACACACACACACACACACACACACACGTAGGTCTTTGGTTATTCAGGTTTTCTCCCACGTCAAATTGGAAGTGTCTTGGCAATGTTTTGACGAAGTCTCATTCGTCATCTTCAGGCTGGTGTTTTCGGCTTTGTGCTTCTAGGGGCCGAAAATACAGGCCTGAAGATGACGAATGAGGCTTCATCGAAACATCACCAAGACACTTCCAATTTGACGTGGGAGAAAATCCGAATAACCAAAGACCTACATACAAACACCCACGAAAACCTCAGAAAATAGATAGATAGATAGATAGATAGATAGATAGATAGATAGATAGATAGATAGATAGATAGATAGATATAAAGTAAGGCCTAAAATAGGCAGATCACAGTTAAAAAACAAAGAGGTTCCTTAAAACTCAAGTTTTACCAAACTGTGTGATGCAGCTATACCAACTTTTCATTCTTTGGTCCTCCTCACAAATATTAATGGTGGTCCTTTGTTATCAAACTTCTATCAATTCCTGAATCATACAGAGACGAATTGTTTTTCTGCATAACTATATTATATTCACACTGTTCTGTTACCCAATAAAGCTCTCGAGCTACACAAGCAACTGCTGCTGTGAAGACTATAGATTCTACACAAAGGAAAGAAGTTTATACAGGTAGCTCTTGACTTATGACTACTACTGAGCCCAAAATTTCTATTGCTAAGCAAGACCGTTAAGTGAGCTTTGGCCCCTGTAACGACCTTTCTTGCCACAGTCGTTAGGTGACTCACTGCAGTTGATAAGTTAGTAACCCAGTTGTTAAGTGAATCTGGCTTCCCCATTGACTTTGCTTGTCAGAAGGTTGCAAAAGCTGATCCCGTGACCCCAGGACACTGCAACTGTCTTAAATACATGCCAGTTGCTAAGCATTCAAATTTTGAACATGTGATCACGAGGATGCTGCAATGGTCAAAAGTGTGAAAACGCTTATAAGTCACTTTTTCCAGTGCTGTTGTAACTTTGAACGGTCACTAAATGAATGTTTTAAGTCGAGGACTACCTCTAATAGCATGTGTGTTGCTGCAGTTTTCCATTGTTTTTCTATGATACCTGCATGCTTTGGATTCAATTCCTTTTCTGTTTGTAATCGGAATATGTTCAGTTTTATGGTCTGGATGACACTCTCCAGCCGGCATATTCGATTCACCAGACTTTCACAAGTTCTCCACAATGAGTTATTTGCTCCAACAAATGCTGTTCGAGCTTGGACAGGGCTGATGGCCTGGTGGTCTTCAGAGTTCACCGGGTGTTTTGAAGCTAAGAGTTCCATGCTGGAAAAAGACCAAAAAAATACCTATTTGTTGGGAATCATTACTGGTGTCTCATCAATGTTTACTGTAATTATCTAAAATCTGGAACACGACTAAGCCATAAAACCTACTTCACATTTCTCAAATTATATTAATTCAGCAGTCAAATTAAATTAGAATAGAAAAACCCTGGTAATAATTAAATACTAAGGGAAGAAGCAACATGAAGCTCGGAAAGAGAAAAGAATACAGAAGAAGGCAGTCTCAGAATTAAACTTGCATTCTTGAATAAATTTTCCTAAAAACAAGTCTCATGAAATCACCATGGAACTTACCACTAAGCAGACATACCTAAGATTGTACAAGATCCATTTCAATCATACCTGTGTCCGTTCACTCCCATTTTCTGCAGATCATTCAACAGTGCACTTGTCTCCTCTTCCACTACTTTCATTCTTTGGTTCAGCACAACAAAGGTTTCAGGAGCCGTTGGTTGGACATCCATTGGGGAAATAACTGGTCTTGCCATCACAATCTCAGTTTTCAACTAGTATCTAATTTAAAAACAATTAAATTTAGAGGTAGTAGTTATGAGTGCTCTTAAAGCCAACTCATTAATCACTGAAAAAGATATAAACGATAACTGCAGGGAGAAATGATTAAACAGTTTTTATAATGTACATATATTTTAAAAGCAGTGAAAAGAGATAATTTTATAGTCAGCTGCCACAAGCTATTTTTTGCATGTCCGGAGAATGGAATAGTTGTGATAAAAATTAGACAGTGCTAGGATTTTTGTTTTTTTCCCCTTGGTTTTTCTTTTAAATATCAGCTGTAGGACAATATATTTTTATCTTTCCCCACTCAGAATAGCAAGAAACTGCTATCAAGTTTTAGCTTTTATAGTCAGAAGCAGTTTCAAGAGTGAGGATTGGAGGTTATACATGCCCCAAGAACCATAGGCTGTCCACTCTTATCCTGTAATATGGGAATAGAGCAGCGGTTCTCAACCTATGGGTCGCGACCCCATTTGGGGTCGATTGACCATTTTTCGGGGGTCGCCAAAGAAGGCGATCCGCCATTTTCTCCCCTCAGGGGGGTGGCGCCGCCCATGCGTGCCGCGCATGGGGGGCGCCGCGCATGCGCGCCCCCATGCACGCCGCGCCACGCATGCGCAGAACATTTGTGTGATGGGGGTCGCCGTCACACAAACGTTGAGAACCACTGGAATAGAGTATCTCTCTTTTCATGAAGCTGAGTTAAAAAGATAGGTTTTCCTATTTTTTTTTTTTTTTTGATAATTCAATAAGTAATTCAAGCCAATAAATGCCAGTAGAGATTTTTCAAACAAAACGTTTGAAAAAAAGGAGAAGCAGCTAGTGGTTTTTATGACATTACTGCTTGTTTACAGTGAATAATTTAACTATAAACCTTCGTAGTCTTGAAGCAGAAAGAGGAGACTGACAATACAGAGTATTATTTCCAAAGATACATTATCACTAACATCATGACTACTCAACCCTTTTGTCCAATATACTGAGCCATCCAGATCTGACTTTAACTCTCTGGTATACATTTCATTTGATATTAAATCTCTATCAAAGCAATGGGATTCACTCAAAATTCAGCTTGTTCTAAAAACTGGCATATTTGACAGTTCTGAGTTTTTCATTCTCCCTTTAAAAAAAAAAAAAGATCCAGAATTGATTAAAAATAACCCATTCTACTGCCCAGAAGAAACTTAGCAAAACTATTGCACGAGTGGCAGGGTCAATCTTCTAAATGCTGGGGTTTTTAATGCATACAGAAGAATGGCCTTTTCTTAAACTGACATTTTATTCTGCATTACTTTATATTTCTTGTATGACCCCAAAAAGTTCCTTTTCTGATATAAAAATATTTAACGTGAGCCAAGATTGCTCTTAATCACTGCAGCCAGTGGAAGATCGACCCAGTACAGAATGTTATTGTGCTGTTGATGTGGGTGGGCTCCTCACACCCTAAAGCTCGGCAAAAAAAGTCAGTTGTGCCCACCTTCCCATGGTGGTTAAGTCCTGCTAAATCCAGTAGACAGCCTTGCCTTGCCATCATGAACACAGCCTCCTGGAGAGTGCTGTAAAAAGCACCATGAAGCGGTATATAAGTCTAGGTCAGTGGTTCTCAACCTGTGGGTCGGGACCCCATTTGGGGTCGAACGACCATTTCATGGGGGTCGCCAAACAACGCAGTCCGCCATTTTTTTTTCTCCTTTTCCTTAGCTGTGCTACTCCCTTTTATTCTATTGGCTTTTGAAAGCCAATAGAATAGACTCTCTTGAATAGAGTCTAATTCTATTGGCTTTCAAAAGCCAATAGGAATTGTCCAGGCTGTCTCTGCCCTGCTGAGCCCACCAAAAGTCCCATTCTGCAAACAGTGCTGCACCAGTTGAGTAGTCCTCGACTTACGACCGGTTGAGTAGTCCTCGACTTACGACCGGTTGGAGGTCGCGGCATAAAAAAGGTTGAGAACCACTGGTCTAGGTGCTGCTGCTATTATTAATAAAGAGCCACACTTTGTCAGTAGCTGAAAACACGATTAAAGACGTTGCCAGAAGGAAGAGAGCGCTTCCTCTCCACATCACGACTCAAGGCACAGGGAATTGGCAACAGACCGATGAGGAAAGTCCTCCTCCATGCCACGGGCCATCATTTTAGAGCAGAGTCCGTGCATGGGACATCCTCCTTCAAAGCTGATTTACCAAGGGAGGATCCGCATCTCAGTCATCAAGCCTGCGTGCAGCTGGAAGCTCCAGATTCAGTGCCGGTCATCTTCATTTACAAAGGCAGCTCTTTCGGCCTTGACAAGAGCTGACAGACCGGACGGGCAAGGGCGGATCTTAAGTCCTAGAAATGACCGAAAGGGGATTAGTTAGCAGGGCGGGAGCTTCGTAGGGTCAAAAAGGAGCCTGGAGTCAATCTTTATTGCTTTCTCTCCCCCACGCCCTCAAGCTATTCCGCCTGACCCTGTAAGCCGCCCTCCTCACCCCCTTTCCAGGAGCGGAGGAGCTCGCCCAACAGACCCTGATATCCCGCGGCCCGGTTTCCATGGAGCTCGTCTTGCAGCTTCAAACTCACCCGCTTCCCGAGAGAGCGGCATCCCACGCAGGCGCGTCTTAGCTCCCGCTGCATTGTGGGATTCGTAGTCCCGCCGCTCCTCCTCTCTCTCCTTAGCGTTCGAAAGCTGTTCTTCAAAGAGAGGAAGGTGACGCAGGCAGGCGCAAGCAAATTGATATAGGAGAAGAAAAGCGTTCTGGGTGCTGCAGGCTTTTGGAAGGATGGGGGGGGGGATTGTTGTGAGACGTGGGGGAGAAACGCTGCTGCTTGCAGTTACGGGGCTTTTTTTTTTTTTAAGGGTTGCAATTGCTTGTGCACTCCTGCAGCCTGGACAGAAGGAAGCAAAAATAATTGACAAGCCTTCACAGAAGAAGAAAGCCAAGATGAAGGAAAATTAAGACTGCGCGGTTGTGGGAGTTGGCACTCTTTTTTATCAGAAATTCTAAAATAGATATTCTCTTTTCTTTGCTTAGCATTCGATTATTATTTCCCAGATTACACCTCCTTTGTTCTTGGACTCTGGGCAAGGACTCTTTCCCCTCTTTCTCTGTTTCTTGGAACAGATTAAGGTTCAAAAGCTTTCCCATTTTGAAAGAATGATCACTGCGGATTAAAAAAAAAAACATGCAGCTCAAATGTTTATTAAAGAAATAGATTTATATGCACCTCAGGGTTGGCAGTTAAAATAGTTGCAAATTATTGCCAGCAAAGCTCAGCAGACAGCAAATTTCAAAGAACTAGGATGAATTTTTTCCAAATATCTGCCTTCTTTAGGGCAAATTGGACTTCTGGATTTTGGGGTAATCCCTCCCTGAATTTGTTGCTTTCAAACAACTAAGCAGGGTTGTACTGGTCAGTAGGCAAGGTCTATAGGGAAAATCGTGGGAGAAATTAATTGTGAATTCTTCCAGATAGTTTTCAGGAACAATACAGGCACTTTGTCTGCCTATAACTATAGATTACAGTGGGAAAACTACTCAGGGAATCTGGAAAGAATGTTGGCATGTTGTGCAAGCGATTGATTATAATAGTGATCGGCAGAGCCAGAGACCAGGCTTGGAAACCAGGTTAACATGTTTCTTTAAAGCAGCAGAAATTCAGCCCTAAGATTATGATTCTTGTTGTTTTCCAATTAAGTATAATAGATTTTCAAAAGAAAAATTATGTATTTCTTTAAAATTTATTATGTTGATGTGCAGTCAAGAATAGATGCTCAGGTCTAGATAATCTCCCAATCAAGCAAGCCTCTGTTGAGATAGATCCTATTTGCCCTGATCATAGCATTATGTTCTCTTATTATCTTGATTTGTCACCCTAATTATACACGTTCCTTCTATTTCACATTAATACTAAGACAGTGGTTCTCAACCTGTGGGTTGGGATCCCATTTGGGGTCGAACAACCATTTCACGGGGGTCGCCAAACAACGCAGTCCGCCATTTTTTTCCCCTTTTCCTTAGCTGTGCTACTCCCTTTTATTCTATTGGCTTTTGAAAGCCAATAGAATAGATTCTCTTGAATAGAGTCTAATTCTATTGGCTCTCAAAAGCCAATAGGATTTGTCCAGGCTGTCTCTGCCCTGCTGAGCCCGCCAAAAGTCCCATTCTGCAAACGGTGCTGCACCAGTTGAGTAGTCCTCAACTTACGACCGGTTGAGTAGTCCTCGACTTACGACCGGTTGGGGGTCGTGGCATTAAAAAGATTGAGAACCACTGTACTAAGACAAAGGTTTTGATGCTATTATAGTTGAATAGCAAATGGAAAGTCAGAATCTTCCTTTTTGCTTGCCATACTGCATCACCATATTACAATAAACTGCACTATAATCCTATTAGATAACTTTCAATTAAAACTACAGGTACCATAAAAGAACAAGATGGGAGTTTGTGAAATAAACACTGCACTGTAACGGGAATCTGAAATGGTTGATTTTGTATAACATGTATTTTGCAGTTTTATAATGGTCACAAGTAAGATGCTGGATTATTGGACTACTACTTTTACATAATACTGTTCAATAAAAAAAGAGTACCAACTAAATTTCTAGCCTTAATCTTGTGTGCTACATACAGCATTTCCTACTTTATATTATGCCAAAACCCAACAAAAGCCCTAGCATGCTCATGCTATTCTATGCCAGTTATGATCTCTAATTCAGAGACCACTTTATGTCAATATACTGCATCCTACCAACCAAGACATAAAGTTTATGCTTTGCAAATAAACACATTGTGATGTCTACTTAATTTCCTTACAAGTTTCTTATTCTCCCACTCAGTTATTTTCTTCTATTGTCTACACTACACAAAGGGTTCAGAGCTATCTTTTTATTTCTTTTCATCTATCATCTGAAGATTGCATAGTTTTCTCTGAATCTCCTAGTTTTTCTTAGGACCATCCTCTTTCTTAGTTATTTCTATAATTTGTTTTGATAGCCAGTGTGTCTGACATTCCATTCTGGCTCTTACTATGTGCTTCCAACTTCCTCTTGTATAAACACTTGAACATCTTCCCACAGATTCCTCAGGCTCTGTGTGCTAAGTCCAATATTTGAATCTCTTTCTAATCTCTCTCTTATATTCTTCTTCTAGGTTATATCTGACTGGGATTGGATCTCCCATAATCTTTTTCAGTCTAAGCAGTGGTGAAATTCAAATATGTGAACAACTGGTTCTCTGTGGATACCGCTTCCAGAAGTCCATTCTGGGCCTGGGCAACAAAAAATTAGCTACCGGTTCTGCCTAGGTGGTGCGAACTGGCTGAATCCCACCACTGAGTCTGAGGTATATTTCTACAGTTAATAGCTTATCCAGAGACAGCACCTGGCAATATTTTACATTTCCGCATATTCCTGTTTTGTCTCTTGTTACATAAAATATAATCTGTTTGAATATGTGTTGTCCTTTTGGAGATGTCCAAGTATAGCGCTTAGGAATAATAGGTTAAAGTCATGCAGCTATTTTCCTCACATAAGTCTATCAATCTTTGTTCTGTGTCATTGCAGGTTCCTATTTCAATTTTATTTAGGCAGAATATCTCTTAAGAAAAATGTACTAGATGCTACTTAATATATATATTAATGAACTTGCAAGTATAAATCTAAGATAGTCTGTGAAATAGAACTGCATGTCATCTAAAACAAAATAACTAATAGAACAGCAGAATCTACAAATGGAATCTAGACTGGAAATTATATCAGACGTTATTCTTGGGACCAGTTATACCTTATTTTTATTGCAGCAACACAAAAGTTGGCTATTGAGCAAGTGCTGTAATGAAGGGTTTCAAATCTTCTAGAAGGTGATTCACACAGAAGTTGTTTAGCTTTCCTGGGAATTTAGATATTGAGAGCAGAATATAAATAGGCCTAATAGCCTTATATAATTTACAGCGTAATAATATGTGAAAAATGGCTTCAATCTCTTTGTCACCACATGGGTAGGTGCACTTGTTTAATGAGGTTTTGGAGAATTTGCCTTGCAACACTGTGGATGGTAAGATATTAAATCTGACTTTGAAAAATGCTTTCCTCAGGCTGAGGAAAGCAAGTTTCTATAAATATTTTGCTGGTTCCCAAGTGCCCTTATTTAACTCATTTCTGCCATATTTGGGCAACTCCATGTCCTTTATTCTTTGACAGTTTTAGGTCTGTTTCTTTAAATGTGTAGTAGCTACCGTAAAACACTGTAGATTTTTAATAGATAGATAGATAGATAAGATAAGATTAAACTTGTACTTCTAAAGATTGAATTAAAATAACCAGCAAAACACATACTTATTTTATTAATGTATAGGTTGCTTATCACCTGTTTGGGGTTAAAAAAAAAACAACTGAAACAATCAGAATTTATACCAAACAAAAATAACATAAAAATAGCAGCTGAGAATACTCAACCCCTCCAAATTAACTGTGAGATGAGCTTATCCACGCTATCAGGGCCCCAGGCTTGCCGGCAAAGCCAGGTTTTTAGTGCTTTGGGTAGGTCTAATTTCTAGGGGATGGATGCCATAGCAGAAAATCTCCCCTCCTGGGTTCTGACAGCTTTATGTTATGTGCAACTGGCACATAACATAAAGCTGTACACAAGGCCCCCTAGCCACAGCTGCTACCTATTCATCAGTCAAGAGCTATGAGTCCCAGACGACCCTCAGATTGCACATAGGATCTGTCTGAGGCAGTGCAACCCATCCAAAACAAGAGATAGAAGGTCCCCAGAACTAGGGAATCCTAAAATTCAAAGTCACTTGGTCTTACTGGGATTGAGCCGAAGGTGGTTGTTTCCATCTAGACTCCCAAAGTCTCCATAGACACTAAGGCAGCATCATGTGGACAGTCTCTAGGGTGGTGATATATAACTGGGTATCACCTGCATACTGTTGATACCTTTCCCCAAACCAACTCACCCAGTAGCTTAATGTAAATATTCAATAAGAGAGGAAAAAGTACTAAAATCTGCAGCATCCCACATAATATAGGCTGCAGGCTGGACCTCTCCTCTCCTATCAATACTGGCTCTGGGGGGAAAGGAAGGAGGAGAACCAGCAAAACACTGTGCTGTCCATGCCCAGCCCCAGTCCAGGATACCATTATTGATGGTACCGAATGCCGTTGAGAGATCAAGAGGAGCAAGGATGGATGCGCCAATCATCTCCTGCTCCCCCAGAAATCAGTATCCTCTGAATCCCATAATTCATAGTTTGTTTAATAATGATAGCCAATTAAGCTAATTTCTTATTTCTTCTTTACTATTTAAAATGCCCCAGATTGATCTGATGAATATTATGCTTAATTTTTTTCTTCAGATAAGACTTCTGTTATACATAAAGTTGCGAAGTTTTGCACTATCAATATTTCCACGGAATAAAATGCTCAGGGTGTCTTCCATAGGCAATTTTACAATATTGGTATTTAAATGTTTTTTTATTTCCATTTCTTTCCTTGGTGAGACATAATTTTGGAGTGATAAAACTGACATTAAAAATACCAGGTAGATTTCAGAGTTTCAGAAGGTGAGAA